AGATATTTTGTGACCCATATATCTGACTTCTTTTAAACCAAATTTGCATTTATTTTTGTTGAATCTAATGTTGAATTGTTCTGCTCTTTTAAAAATTAGTTCTAACAATTTCTCATGTTCTTTTACAGTTTTTGAATACACTATTATATCATCTATGTAAACACTGCAACCTTCTATGTCACCAAAGATTTCAGTCATACGCTCTTGGAATACTTCAGATGAACTGATCAGACCATAAGGTAACCTTAAAAATCGGTATCTTCCAAATGGGGTTGCAAAAGTGCAAAGTTTAGAGCTTTGAAAATCCAACTTGATCTGCAAAAATCCTTGTGTTGCATCTAATGTGCTGAATATTTTTGAACCTGTTAATTTGCTTGTCAAGTCTTCTATAGTTGGAATTTGAAAGTAGTGTCTTTTAATAGCCTGGTTCAGAAATTTGGGATCTAAACAAATTCTAATTGATTTTTTATCAGGTTTCATGACCAAAACAACTGGATTTACCCAATCCGCACTGTTATCATCTTTAACAATTATTTTTTCTTTCTGAAGTTCATTCAAACTTTCTTTGAATTTATCTTTAACTGCAAATGGTACTTTTCTAGCATAGTTTATTATAGGTTTTGCATTTTCTTTTAATTCAATATGGTATGGTTTTTCCAGACACCCTATTCCTTTGAATAGATGTTCATATTTATTTATTAAATACTGGATATTTTCAACAGAGAAGTTTTCTACTTCTTGAACATTATCTATTCTTCGAATCATACCTAGTTTAACACAAGCTTGAAGGCCTAAAATGCAACAACTATTCATATCAACAATGTGAAATAAGAATTTTCCAGTATAATTATTATATCTGCATTCTAAATTGCATTCTCCAATTATTGGCAAAAGATCTCCTGTATATGACCTCAGCTTCATGGTACTTTGATTTAAATTGTTGAAATCAAGTTTTATTTTTTGAAATACACTTACAGGCATGACATTGGCTATGGCTCCACTATCCAGCTTCATTTCTACCTTCTGACCATTTATTTCTACTGCAGCAACCCATGACTCCATCTCAACGTTGCAAACTGTCCCCGTTTCAATGCTACCTATAAAGAGAAAATCATTAGTTTCATTTAAACTATTTTCTATGGAGTTTACAAAAGGTTGCATGTCATCATTACTATCTTCATATTCATTCTCTAGAGTATTAATATTTTTAAAAGTTACTTTATTTTTATTATAATTTGAATTGTTACTGCCATTTTTGAATTTACACATTCCAGAAAAGTGATTCATGTTTCCACATTTGGAACATTGTCGTCCATGGGCTGGGCATTTTCCATAACCATGACAGTTTCCACACTTCCGGCAGCTTCTTTCATTGGTCTTGCTGTAACTTGTAGTATATTTGCTTGGATAGTTGCTTCTGGATGCCTCATATTTTCTTGGAATTCCCCTTTTATCCTTATACTTGTGTCTGAAGTTCCTCGTTATCTCCTCTACTTGTATATTCTCTCTATTATTGGTGGTAATTTCTCGATTTCGTTCCCTTGTTTTCTCCATATTGATGCATAGCCTAATTGCTTCCTCTAGAGGCTGATTATCTTCTTGAAGTAGCTTCTCCCTAAGTGTTTCTGACTTAAGTCCACATATAAGAATGTCCCTTGTTAAGGAGTCTCGTAAGAGTCCCAGTTCACAAGAATTAGCTAAATTTTTCAATTCTGTTACATATTGTTCAATGGATTCTCCTTCTTGCTGTTTACATGTTAGAAATTTATGTCTTTGGTAAGTTAAATTATTTCTGGGACTGAAGTGACTCTCGAACTTCGCAAGTAATGGATTTATTTTATCCTTTTCATCTGGCAGCATAGTGAAAGTATTGAATATACGCATACCTTCGTCGCCGATTAACGTTAATAGCTGAGCACATTGGGTAATTTCTTCTTTTTTCGAGATTTCTGTCGCTAGCAGGTACGTTTGAAATCGCTGTTTCCAAAATTTCCAGTTTTCTGCTACATTACCGTTCATTTTCATGGGTGGGACGCCTCTAAAATCCATTTTGATATCTTAGTTTCTCGTTTTCCTTTCGATTGGGTCTTCTATTTGCTTGGGAGTGCAAATTCGCCAAAATATTTTAAGATGGCGGAATTTTTTGTCTAGTTTCTAACCTGACTGCGCCATGTGGTGTGGACTTGGGAGAGTGTTGGAGACGGGACGTCTGAATTCAAAGACTGCTGGATGATAACTGGTTTATTAATCATCTTTATCACAGATCACGGAAGTCAGAGCACCAGGCACAGAACAATACATATCGGTGCTAGTGCATGGTTAGTGTAACCTAGTGTAGGTGTACATAATATGTCACAGCATTGACACGAAATCAAAAATATGAATATAACTATGTTTCAATAACAAGCCCTCATACAAATAAACCGAAAAGATTATCAATTTCATTGTTCGCATGTTAATATACGTGTACAATTCATGAGCCATCAGGAAAGAAATACAAAACAAATATTTAAAAGACAGTAACTGAAAACTGCTCATGTAGGTACTTGACCATATTTACCCCCTGACACGTCCAGCTGTGCTCCTCCGCAAAAAGAAAGCTACTTCCCAGCGAGCACAAAAACATCTCAGAGATGTTAAAAGTACGAGATTTCGAGACATTGAACCTCCACTGCGATGTTCTGTTCACACATGAATAGAACTATTATAAACAGCCAATGTCCGCCGCAGGCGGCAATTATCGAGACGTCCTTGATATGTCACAAAACTACTTTCTCCCTAGATGTAAAAAAAAACATTTTCGAGGTAATTTCCTGAAGCCTTTTGTCAAAATGAACTTTTGCATTAGGATTCCATTTCCCTTGAATGAAAAAATGCATTAAAAATAGATTGAACATAAAAATATTTTCTTGATATGAAATTACCTTCTTAATCGGTTTCTGAGTAGTGCTTACTACACACAGACATATAATTGGAAATAGGTTTCCCAATTTTTGAAATGTTCTCCACAATGCATAATTTTGCAACTGCGGAGAAGCTGTGTATTGATGAATTCGTACTTTTATATATTGATTACACTGAGGCACCGAACAACACATCTTGCATCTGATGGTCATTATTACAAACCAAATAAGTCTCTTAACACAATAATTTTCACCAAATTCCTTTCTGTTCGTTAGCAGCGTGATGTAAGCGTGACACGCTGCAAACGCGAATGCCAATTGCGTACAAGAAGAACAAAATCGAAAACAAATCAGAATTCATCATATTTTGTGACGTAAGCATGAGACGTTGTGGTGGGGCAAACAAAGAAAGGGCACAAAAGAACAAAAACAATACTTTCAATATCCTTCTATATAAGACCTCTTGGGAAATGCATATTACGCCTCAAAAAAAAACATCCTCATGCCTACATTTCTAAAACATCCCAGGGATACCTCTCAGTAGGCATACAAAGAAATGCCATAGAAGAACAAAAACAATACTTCAATATCCTTCAAGACCTCTTTGGTCAGTGCATATTACGTCTCAAAATAACATCTTCATGCCTACATTTTCAAAACATCCCAGGGATGTTTGTGCTCGCTGGGCTATTGTTTTTGAATGACTGCACTTCCACCTCAACAATAATACTCAGATAATAGATCACAACATGAAATAACCAAAATACAGTGTGTCCCACTTACCATGCTCACCATGGGTATCTTTTTAACGGTGAGAGATACGAGGTCGGTTAAATGACACCAAATGTGGAGTTTGTCAAGGCCAACCATAATGTGAAAAAATATTTTGGTAAAATCTATTCGTTTTTGTTTTATACGCAAAAAACAGATTTTGGTCATTTTCATGTCTCCTCCGTAACTTCTTTATTTATGAAATTATTCAAATAGGAATTTCACATTCTCAGGGCAGTTTTTCAAAGTGATTTCGAAAAAATTATGAAATTTATGCCAACTATTCTAGAATTTGAGATATCAGCACCAACTTTAGTTTTTCAAATGTAGGTCGTAGCTCACTATTATGACTTAGTTACAAATAACTTTTTCTTCTCTAACAGATGATATGTCGCAGTAATAGTTTTGTGTTGATAACAACGGAGTTATCGTCATTTATACAAAAGCAAAGAGTTATTTGGAAGCCGCCATCTTAAATTTATTAATTTTAATAAAAAAATCATGATCTCCGACCTCAAAAACCCCCACTAACCAATTTTGAATGGAATCGGACCAAATCTTGTCCGCCATCTTGGAGCAGCCATTTTTTTTTAATTTCATAACTCCGATTAACTTAAAATTTGACAGGTGTTCATAATGACGGTGACAATACATTATGGAATTTTTTGTTGAAATTAAAAAAATGGCTGCTCCAAGATGGCGGACAAGATTTGGTCCGATTCAATTCAAAATTGGTTAGTGGGGGTTTTTGAGGTCGGAGATCATGATTTTTTTATTAAAATTTATAAATTCAAGATGGCGGCTTCCAAATAACTCTTTGCTTTTGTATAAATGACGATAACTCCGTTGGTATCAACACAAAACTATTACTGCGACATATCATCTGTAAGAAAAAAAAAGGGTTTTTGTAACTGAGTCATAGTGAGCTATGACCTTCATTTGAAAAACTGAAGTTGGTGCTGATATCTCAAATTCTAGAAGAGTTGGTATAAATTTCATATTCTTTTCGAAATCACTTTGAAAAACTGTCATGAGAATGTGAAATTCCTATTTGAATATTTTCATAAATGAAGAAGTTACAGAGGAGACATGAAAATGATCAAAATCTGTTTTTTGCGTATAAAACAAAAACGAATAGATTTTATCAAAATATTTTTCCACATTATAGTTGGCCTTGACAAACTCCACATTTGGTGTCATTTAACCGACCTCGTATCTATCACCGTTGAAAAGATACCCATGGTGAGCATGGTAAGTGGGACACACTGTATAATTAAAATATTGTACATCAATTTTCTTCATATTGTTTTTCAGGACTGCCCGGAAATGCGATTCATTGCAGAATCAGTCTCTATCATATTGATATTCCTTCACAATTCTCTCCAAGACTGCAGATCATCAGCTGGTTTCACGACCTGTAGTAATGAATACTTACGAAGAAACAGTCCTATGCGAATCAATGATTACAAGAACATCCTAGAGTTCAAAATAACTTCCTTGGAAGAAATACCAACAGGTTCTTTCAAATTACTACCAGAACTCACGATGCTGTTCATCAGCAACAGCGATGTGAAATATTTAGAAGAAGGTTCCTTCGATGGACTTTATAACCTCAGAAAACTTTCGTTGTATGGTAACAAGTTGAGCATGATAACGAATGGAGTATTCAGACACTGTAGGAAACTTGAGACTCTGGACTTGGGCATGAACAAGATTGAAGAAATACAAGCAGACTCTTTCAATGAGCTGACTAACCTGAAGGACCTGAATTTGGGGTTCAATAATTTACGAACTGTGCCTTCGAGTCTGAATATCTTGAGCCTAAGATCTCTTAGGATATTGCACTTGAATAACAATCAACTGGAAACTATCCAACCCAACAGTTTCAATAACTTGAACAATTTGGAAATTCTCAATCTGGGTGATAACAAAATCAGCAGTCTTTCTGAAAACGCGTTCACGGGTCTTATAACTCTACAGGAATTGAACTTGGGATCAAACGATTTGAGAAGCTTAGATCCTCAAAATTTGACTCAAAATTTGAGGAGATTAAAAACCATTAAATTGTCTATAAATTCTTTCGATTGTGATCGTTTGAGAAACATTATTGAAATGTTCGAAAAAAAGGAGTTAAGGTGGCTAAAGGCCATTCAAAATCCAAAGATACTGTTAATGGAATTGGATGTTCAAAAACTTGAATACTTAGTAATATGACGGATTTTAAATGCTTTCAATCCAAAGAATGTTTCGGAGGTGTTTCTAGATAGGTACTATAAACCTGTGGTACAGACTCATAATATCCGAGCTCTCATTCATTTATTTATTGAAAGATCCTCCAAATTAGAAATTTCCAACTAATAATAAGATCAGGCCTGGGAAAAAAATCGATATATCGATAAATATATCGATATATCGAATAACAATATATAATTTCAAAAAAATCGATATATCAATAGTTATCGATATATCGATAATTATCGATAACTCTCGATATATCGATAGCACTCGATATATCGATAACTATCGAAATATCGATATATTGATAACCATCGATATACCGATCGTTATACAGGGTGTCTCATTGGAAAACGGAAAAACTTCAACAGTGGGTAGAGCTCATCAAGGTGGCTCTGAATATACCATATTTGTAGGGTCTCACAAGTTTTATATCCGAGATATTTTTTTTTATCACTTGAAGCGCACGAAAGGGAATCCCTATAATGTTCAAAGAACACCGTGCGTTCCTAGGGAGGATAGGGACAGGAGGTAGGTATTGGAATTTTTTTTGAACTTTTGGAGATTATATGTGTTTCATCAATTTTGTTCAATTCTTTGTGAGGACATAACTTACAAACCACCCAGTATATCCATTTGGAATTTGGTACACAATTTCGCCTTCTTCTACCAAAGTGACTCACCTATCAGTCACGAGAAAAATCCAGGACCAGATCAACGAAAATCGATCATATATCTGGACCCCAAAAATATCACCCTGTATTTTCGAATTTCCGAAATTCGCTCACATATTTGGAAAGTGCATGAAAATCTGAATCGTATGATGTACTTTCCATTTTTTCGCATGTCATTTCATTTCATGCATTTGGATACGTAAAAATGAAATGTTTCGAGTTTTCCCAATCGAATAACAACAACTATCACGAATCACCCAGTATATTCTTTTGGAATTTAGTACACAAGTCCTCCTTCTTCAACCCCAGCGACTCACCTACCAGTCACGATGAAAATCCAGGTACGGATTAACGAAAAATTATAATCTTCTGGGCTCGAAAAAGAACACCCAGTATTTTCGAATTTCCAAAATCCGATTCCATATTTGGAAAGTTCACAAAGGAATGAATCAAATTGTGTACTTTTCACTAATTAATTTCTTATTCTGAAAACTCAAAACTTTCTATCTTACCTCGATTTCTACCTATCCAAATGCATAAAACCTCAAATTCAAAATCAGAAATTCAGTAGTGAAATAGCAATCGTATGAAAACAAAAAGTAGACAACCCGATTCAGCTTTTTGTACAATTCTCAAATATGTATGCATATTATGGAAATTCGAAAATATAGGGTGTTCTATTTGGGGCCCAGAAATATAATCAATTTTCGTTAATTCGAACCTGGATTTTCCTCGTGAATGATAGGTGAGGGGCTTGGGTAGATCAAGGAGAACTCGTGTACCAGATTCCAAAAAAATATACTGGGTGGTTCGTGATAATATTATTCGATTGGGAAAACTTATAACATATTATTTTTACCTATTCCATTGCATAAAACCTTGAATTCAAAATCAGAAATTCCTTTGTGGGAAAATAAAAACTTCATCATTTGGTTCAGCTCCTTGTGCACTTTCCAAAAATGTGAAAGCGGATTTCTAGAATTCGAAAATACAGGGTGTTCTTTTTGGGGTCCAGAAATATGATCAATTTTCGTTAATCCGGACCTGGATTTTTCTCGTGGATGATAGGTGAGGCGCTTGGGAAGAATAAGGAGAACTCGTGTACCAATAAAGTCCAAAAGAATATAATGGGTGGTTCGTGATAATTGTTGTTATTCGAATGGGAAAACTCAAAACATATTATTTTTACCTATCCAATTGCGTATAAAACCTCGAATTCAAAATCAGATATTCCTTGGTGAAATTGCATGCGGGAAAATGACAGTTATACCATTCAGTTCAGCTTTTTGTGCACTTTCCAAATATGTAAGCGGATTTTTAGAATTAGAAAATACAGGGTGTTCTTTTTGATGTCCAGAAATATTATCAACTTTTGTTAATCCGGACCTGGATTTTTTTCCTGACTGATAGATGAGTCGCTTTGGTAGAAAAAGAAGAAATTGTGTACCAAATTGCAAAAGAATATACAAAGTGGTTCGTAAGTTATATCCTCACAAAGAATTGGGCAAAATTGATAAAACACCCTAAGTTGTAAGTTGTGAGACCCTACAAATATGGTATATTCAGAACCACCTCGACGAGCTCTACCCACCGTTGAAGTTTTTCCGTTTCCCAATGGGACACCCTGTATAAGTATTATGAAGTTATCCAAATAAATATATAACAATCAATAATTTCTCAACATATCGGTAACAATAAACTCATTTTCAGAACATCGTGCGATATATCGATATGTTCGATATATATCGACATTTCAATATATATCGATATATTGATTTATCGGTATATCGATAATTATCGTATTTATCAATATATCAAACTTATCGATATATATATATCCATTTATCAATATGTCGAATTTATCGATATATATCGATTGATCGATATATCGAACTTATCGATATATATATATCCAATCCAATATTATCAATATGTCGAATTTATCGATATATATCGATTGATCGATATATCGAACTTATCGATATGTCAATCTTGACTTATCGATATGTGAAATCCAATATCGCCCAGGCCTAAATTATAGATTCTAATTTTTCGTTTTTTGAATTATTTTGTTAGATTGTTAGTGTAGCATTATTTTGAAGATTAGGATTAATGTTGAGGTGGTTTATCAGAAAATTCATGATCGTTTCAACACTTTTGAAATAAATTCCATTGAAAAAACATTGTTGTCATTTCCGAAAAAAAAACGGAAGTTTCAAAATATCCAAATTTTGCAAATTTCAGAATAACTGAACATATAATGAAGAAACGCGAGTTTTACCAATGTTATGTGAACTGGTTGATATATATATTTTATTTTATTGAAACAATTAAGATTCATTACTTACCTATTACTGATTTTATTCATGAAAATTGATAATGTATTGGACTTCTTACCTGACTTAGAAGTAAACTGTAGGACTGCAATTTCTTAGAATATTTCAATTTTAGCAAACCAAGTCCTGTTATACAAGGTGTCCCTAAAAGGCCTGTACAACATATCAGAGCACACATTCTTGATGAGGTAAATAATCCGAATTAAAGCAACACCTGATCCGAAATCGCACCATTTCCGAGATACAGGGTGGTGAAGTTTAAAAACAAAAATCGAATTTTTCAGAATTTATCAACATTTTTAAACGAATCACTTTAAAAATTCGTATTTGGGGTTTTTTTAGATGCGAAACCTGACTACCGACACCTTTTCACTGTGGCCGGTAGAGGGCCCTTACCAATACACTTCTTATTATGGTCCAGAATGGCCACAACTTTTTTTCAGTGTATTTCTTTCACTTTGTTGAGGCAATATTGTTTTGAACAGTTTGAAGCAAAAACGGGACTCATGTGAAAATCCACTTAAGTAAGCCAATTTGGAGATATTTCGGTTTTTTGTGTTCGATCCCGCACCAGAATATTTAAATTATTATGACTAAAAAATGTTTGCTCTCATTTTCGTGGGTGTTACTTGGTCAGTAAATTGGCAGCAGGAATTGATTTTACCAAATGCTTTCTTGGAGTGCATACCTACTAGTCGATATTATAATTTTTTACATTTATCACCCTGTATCTTGGAAACGGATGAGCAATGTCGGACTGAAGTATTGTGACCTCAGGAATATGTGCTTAGATATGCAGACCTTTTAGGGACACCCTGTATCATGAAGTATAAATTACTCCCTTTTTGCCGTCTTGAATCACTCAGCAATGGCGCACCCTGACATGAGATCGTAATCTCGATTTTAATTCAGCATAGATTCAAAAACTCAATGAAAAATGGCGTTCCATGCCTCTCGCTCACGACTCAATCGTTTTGAAGATAAAAATCTGAAAATATTCACACAGTATTTATATTTTGCATATTTTTTTTCAATTAAGAATTTCAGAAAGATCCCTGACATGAATTCGTGTTCTCGATTGTAATTCAGCATAAATTCAAAAACTTGATGAAGATGAAAACCGATAATATTCACAGTATTTAACCTACAGACAGTATTTATATTTTTGATATTTTTTTTTTCAATTTAGAATTTTGGAAAAATCCTGTTTGTATTGATGGACACATGACTCCAAATTGGGACAGTGTGTGCCAAAATGGAGTAAGAATTCTCTGAATGGACGCACACGTCCCCAAATAGGGACAGTACGTGTGTGACAATGAAAGTAAGAATTCTCTGAATTTTATCAGTCGTACTCTGTTATGTAATCAGATATCAGATGAATAATAGCTAGTGAGTTGAATGTGTCATTGACCCCATAATATCCGAAAAACAGTAGAACAAGCTGAGAAAATTATTCTGGTGTATAAAATACACAGAAAACAAAACTATTCATTATCGGTCAAAACGGCTTTCATGTCCGTATCTTAACTTTTGATTTACTATCTACTGACATTCAATAATTGGAACAGATACAGGGTGATCAGAATTTTGAATCTTGAACCACACTGTATATGTTCCAATTAAATATCAGTAGATAGTCAATCGAATGTCAGTAAGCCGTTTTTACCAAAAATGAATAGTTTCAACACAAAAAAATCCTAAAGTTCAAAATCTCGATTTGGAACACCCTATATCTCTGTAATCATTCCCGCTAGACCCCAAGTGTGATACATTGATGAAATAATCTCTTCAGGGAGAATCTAAAAATACAATGAAATACAGGGTGTTCTATTTGAAAAAATCAAGTAGTACTCTGTAGATCTTTTGTTCCGAGCACCCTGTATTTTCTGATTCGACGGGAAAAAAATTATTAAAAATCATTTTAGATGATTTTTCAAATTTTTAAATCGGTTCAAAATTAAGTGAGCTAGAAGGGGGGACATTTATGGTGAATCACCCTGTACCTAAAACTGAAGAAATGATTTTTTCCGTCGACCACGTATTAACGACTAAGTTTAATGTATATGAAATCGTTCATTAATTGGCCCCTATTAATGAACGATTTGTCTATTAATGCACGATTGTTTTATAGGCAACCAAACATACACCGCGTGCATTCATTGTTCATGTTATAACTTACGGAATCTGCATTTAAATTGAAAATATGGATTTCATCGACGATTTTCCGTTAACGGGTTCGCCTTTCCAAGTTTCTGACACGATTTTAATCCCTGCTTTTCAACACAAGGAATTCATTTTCTATGTTGATCATTTCGACAAATGTCAAATGTCACTAATGTCAGTAACAAGGCTACTAGGTGATTCTTAGCAGTTTCAGGATGAATGATGAATTCGCGAACCAAGTTCTCTTCATTGCAGGAGAAATGAGAAATATAGTCGGCGGAAAAATTTTGTAACCAACTTGTATATTAAAAGGCGATTAATGATCTCGATCATTAAATCGCCCTCATTAATACACTAGTTGGTTAAATAACTATAACACGTTTAAATCCCACGTCGGCGACCCGGGTTCAATGCATGCGACGGTCAGCTTTTTTTAATTTTGTTTTCTCCAGTGATTTTCAGAAAAATATAACTTTTAGGAAGAAGGTACCTGTTATAAATAACGGGATCCCAATGATACCCCTCGTATAACCGATACATAGGAGGAAAAGAAAACAATATGGCTAATTATAAATATTGTTTAATGCACTAAATAGTTCAAATGCATTCGACGAAAGGAAGAAAGCAAGGTTATATCTCAAAATGACTTACTAGCGGTAAAAATGATACAAAGAATCAAATACAGAACATATAACTATGAAAAACGTTTGACAATAATTGCGTTCTTAATTTGTTTAAAAGTGTTAATGAACTAATTTTCAGCGAATTTCAGCTTCTAAAACAAAAAATTCGCGACACTATCCAGATCGGTTAGAGGTAGCAAGGTTCAAGGTCCAATTGAAAAGTTCAGCTAGATTTTAGAGAAAGAAAATATATCTTCTCTATATCTCATTGTCTCCACTATTCTAATGCAAAATAATGATTTTATGTTGGCAACACTGGAAATAAGAAGAAATAGAGAAGATCTTAAACTCTTCTTTTTCTTCCTTCCGATTTGAATGACCTTAACTACCTGAGCTATCTGGCCATACCTTAAACTCAATATAAAAAAGGTTAGAATTGCCTTCTTCTCCGTTTCTCCCCATTTTCATTAGTTTTCTTTGGAATCCTGAAGTCAAGGACAGAATGGGAAGCATTATTTTTTCTCTCTCAACACTAGCTGAAATTCCCTATTCAACCTCGATACACTCGACATAATTAATGTGAAACAAGCTTTAGTGCGACTTGATGAACGTATCAAAATTTCAGTCGTAAGTACGGAAACGGTTAGTTCGGCTGACGGACATCGTCGATCTTCAATATCATCTTAACCAGCTGGGTGGCCAACAGCAATTGTTGCCTTTTTGACCTGAGAGATTCGATGACGTGCTGATCGCGCATGTTCATGTTACCGGTCGCCATGCAGTCGATGCCGAAGGCTGGATCGCCTGTGGCTGCTTGTTTGGCCTGGAAAATATCGAGCGAATTTGTTTCGGAACGAGCGTTTCGATTTCAAAATATCGACTGTTGGATTCCGAGGTTATCGATCTAGCTCAATCAATGAACATCATGTGTTCACCTTCAAAATACTCCTATAATAACGGGAGTTTTCTTGAAGAAACCTATATATTTTTGATTAACAGCTTCTTCTTTTTGTAATGAGGGGTGTTTTCTTGAAACCTATATATTTTTGATTAACAGCTTCTTGTTTTTGAGGTTAACAGCTTCTTCTTGGGGTTTGGATTCAGGTATCAATGTATTGTAAGTAATTACAAGGGATAAAGTAGTAAAAAAGTTTTGCCCATGGACATGGGCTTTGCCAATTTAATGAACAATCTGTAAAGGGTTTGCATTGAGAGACATTGTAGCATGAAATTAGAAATGGAGAAACGTACCTCAACCAAATTAATACTTCATATTTATTGTATTTTCTATATTTTATGTTTAAAAAATACATTTTTTTAATTTTGGTGTTGCACAGACCCAAAAAGTTCAAAACCAAATCAAATATTGCAAAAATGTTACTTTGCGGTGCTGGACATGTGACGTTTCTCAAAAAGCAAATGGTATCACACATTATCTGAAATCTCGAAAGAGTTTCCTAAAATCTGGCAAAGAATAGTTTTTATACCCGTCGGATTGATAGGTGATTCAAATCATGCCTGATGCATATGCAACTAGCCATGTTTAATGCTGTAGTAATGATGTTTTTATCCCATTCTGAACTTTTGTGATAAACAAATATTCAACTGAACGTATATATGTACCTACATAAAAGGAGACTTATTTCATAGGAATACTATATGTATTTCGTTGATATATATGTACCTACTAACTTGATACCTCCATTGAGGACCTTCAGCCTCATCATTCAATATTTCGAGAAGAAATAATTTTCCAATCAATTTATCGTACCTTTTTGCCCACTCGAGGAGACGCTATGCACTCTTATATAAAAATCAAAGACAGAAAGATATATAGATGTACTCTTCTCAGGACTCGTGGAAGAAGGAAGATGCGAGGATCCGTTATCTAAGCGAAAAACATATTCATGTCCTTGTCTGGCAAAACATATGATTTGCTTCAAAATCGTTTGTGGTTATGTTTGATTGTCACTGCTTGTCCGTATTCTGATATACAAAAACGTCAAAACAGCAGTGTCAAGTACATTTAGGAACTCTAGTCTATATGACCAAAACTAAAGATCCAAGGTTCCGAACCGACTGATGCACTCACCTTGACTTCTCCGAGATAATGGACGGCAGGCAGCCCGCTGTTTTCTGCCAGCGCCAAGGGAATACTTTCTAGGGCTTCTGCGAACGCTCTGTAGGCGTACTGCTCCAACGAGGCCAGCTGATCGGCCTGCGCCGCCACTGCCAAACAGCAAGCTATTTCGGCAGCGCCGCCGCCATAGACGACTCTGGGCTCCTGATTGGTTGAAAAAAAAAATACACTGACCGGCTAGAACGGGATCCCAATAGTTTTGCTCAAGTTTGATGTTCAATAACTTGTATAACTTTGCAATGACTTCGATTATTTTATTGGCGTATTGTGAAGAAATTCAACAATATTTATTGTTTTTGTTTTTTGTATGTATGAAAAATTCATATTCTTTATACAGGACGTGGAAAGAAACTCTGAATTGTGAAAACCTAATCACGAATCTGCGATTGGGTGGAATTATTGATAAGGAATATTCTCAGATAAATTATGAACATGAAAAAATGTATATACAGGGTGTCTGTAAAAGGTTGGGACATGGCTCGGCTGTGGCCTCCTGGGATAAAAACAAGTTGATTCAAACCAATTTACCTATATCCAAAATCGTCTCACTGAGTTGGTACAAGGCGTTAAGTTTTTTTGTAAAAAAATAATTCTGCTCATAAAAAGAGTAGGCTGAGATCGATTTTCATGATTTTTGGCATGGCATGTTCTCTGACTGTAAGTCACGTTTTGAGATGTTTTTGATCATCATCAGTGACCTGCAGGTGTTTCAAACAACCATGTTGCCGTACGAATTTGGAGATAACTTTTCAGAGGTCGGGCTGGCAACTTCCAGAAGTCTCAAGTTTCTTTTTCAAATAAATAATTTCTGATCTGAGGCATCTTATGCATTTTTTAGAAAAATAATCTGGTTGGGACATGGCTTGACTGTAGACTCCTGGGATGAAGATAAGTTGATTTTAGCCAACTTAGCTATATCCAAAATCGTTTTGTTAAGTTGGTACATGGCGTTAAAGTGCTCACATTAGGTCCTGAATAGTTATCATTAAATTTGTAATGCGAGAATTCTTGTAAAGCCCGCGAGGACCAGCAACATATCAGTTTGTTTACAATAAAAATACATTGTAGTCATGATCAATGAACAGTCCGACTAATTAGATTAATTTTTAAGAATGCGCAGGATGCATCGAATGGGTCGCATTTTTCAGAAAAATTTTATAACTTTCGAATCATCAACAATTTGATAACAACATATACCGTTAGTTTGATTACAAATGACCCCCCCTACCACCCCACTTCCTTTGATCCATTACTTATGGGACACCCTGTATAAAGAAATGTATTGAGAATTTGCATTCTCTATGTGATGAAAATAGCAACTCTTTTTCGGTTTATTCAACAGAAAACAACTAATTTCCTGGCTATATGCCACGACGAACATTGAATTATACCTATTGAACACACACGATAAGAATTTGAAAACAACTTCTGTAGTTGAGAATTTGCTTTCTCCTCTGGATAAAAATATGTATGTGCACATAATATCATTATGAATATTCCACAGAAAACAACTACTTTTCTGGCTAATTGCCACGTCGAACATTGAATTATATGTGTTGAACGTCCAAAAAGAGAACATGAAAAAAAAATTCTCTGAAATTAAGAAATAACATTCTCTTTCAAACCGGATGAATAATATGATGTATTATTATATTGTATACATTCTTTTTCAATGATTTCACCCAATCAAGGGGTTCATGTTATGATTACAGTTTGTCAATCATAAGCAACTGTCGAATCGATAGTGAATGCAATTCAAGAAACTTATTGTTATTTAAGGATGTCATCCAATAGAGTGTTGAAGTAATCACTGTACGTAGACCTCCACATTGACGTAAACATACGGAAAATAAAGGTCGTGACACAATGTAGAGGAATAGAGAATAAGGAATAGAGAATAAGGAATAAAAAATAAGAAATGCAGGTCTGCTATTAGTCAATTCTAACCTTGAATGCGTTTTGAACCAATCATAGTGCTATTCCTTATTCCTATTCCTTATTCTTTTGCAAGTCGTCACTTTGGTAGTCGCTGTCATCTTGACCTAATAATACATTTTGTTTTCGGTTTGTATTGGTCATTTTTGGTTGTGTGTTTAGATCCGAACATTTATTCCTGTTAAAATGAGATGACTCCTTGATGCAGAACTCCTTGGGGATCCCGAATTTGATAATTTTGACTCATCAGTATATTTGGAGTATAGTTTGGTTAACGTACGTTTATATTTAAGGTATTGAGATAACGTACACCCGTAAGCCCACAAAGAATTGGAAAATGCGCATGCGAAGCTAGCAATTTCTACGTTTACGTTAACGTTCATGGCAACACTTCAACTCTTTATCAACGACACGTAACGATGAAGCCTTCGAAAACGGTAAAATGTGAAGAAAAATCATAGTAGAATGAAACTCGTTGAAAAAAAGAAAGAGAATATAACAAAGATGAAAGGGAATAGTATATTACATAACAAGAGTTGTAAAACGCATAATACGCACGAAGTGGAGAGAGTTACACACAATGCCGCATAGCAGGGGTATGAGATTTTCTATGACATAAATGTGATTAGAATTAAATAAATCAACTCTTTGACTGAAAAAAATTGCAGCAATCACATTTTTTCATTGAAATCCCTCCTTTAAATCCTATCTTTAATATCTAGAACAACTTTTTTTGCATGTTCCTTGCAATCTATATGTAATTGAAGTGTACATTTCACTAAATAGCTCAAAATTGTACATAGTGATGAGAACATTTACTATAGTAATGTATACATTTTTTTCCATTATCAGAAAGAAGAGATTCCATCGAACAAAAAATGCCCCGAATTATTTTTAAAAGCTGATAATTTGACGTGAGATTTTTTTGATTGAAAATGAGGGTGTTTTTTCGATATTAGGTCAAAATGAGGTGAAAAAATAAATATTTCATATCAAAAAAATTACAGTGTCTTTAGGACATGAAAAGGTGAGTTTTCACAAAATTTCGTGGAGAAAAATTTTTGTTTGCATAAGATAAAGATAAAAAACTGAAAACTTGGTAATTTTAATAATTTTTAGGTTATGTGAAAAAAGTGTGATGACAAAAGTTGTAGGTCTCTTCATTACCAACAACTTTGTTATTCAATATTTCTCCATAGGACTTGTGGTTTTGCCGGAAATTGAGATACATCGTTTTTTACCCTTAAAACTCTCCCCATTCCACTTCCCGACCTCAGATCGCCCGTAAATTGTTTTTTTCTGTGACGGGAAAAAAGTTTGCCATTTCATCTCTGTTGGCAGGTTATAAAATGTCACCTTTCATAAATCATTTTTTTCTCGTGTGAAAAAAGTGAGTACTTTTTTCAGGATATATATCACATATATTATACACTATTGATGGCTTTTGTTGTGCTATAGTTCCGAAAAATGAGTCAATAATACCGTCTCCGAGAAAGAACTGCAAGTCCTTTTATCTTCCATTCGACTTCACGGTTACATATATTACTAAACAACCACTAAATTCGCAATTTTTTGAAATCAAATCACAGAATTAGACTGACAGAAGGGACAACAGATATTTGATTACTTCAAAAGAATGATAAAGATGCCTACAACGCAGGTGTTCCTACTGTTAAAAACTTGAAATTTCACGAATAATTTTCAGATTTCAAAATAATGTAATATCTTCTCAATATTGATTCGTCCTTTCTTCTGTCACAGAAAAAAATAGTGTATTACACACGGAAAAAATATTAGATTTTAGCTCACGGTTTTTTGTCCCACAACACAACCTGGAGCTAAAATCTACAACTTTTTTCCCTTGAATAATAAATAACTATTTCCATTCATTTTTGTTATATTCTCGTTCTTCCTCATTGGGTCTCATCCTACTTTTTTTTTGTTTAAAAAATTATCGACCCTGGTCTAATAGGCCTGTAAAGTAAAATGGATAGAACAACATGTCTCAACAATCACCAACCTGCACCAAACTCCTGATGACGCACAAGGCGTCGTGCAGACTCCTCTTCGCCTCGGCCACCAGCATCTGGTTGCCACCCCGAACGAGGATGGTGACGGCACGCGAGTTCGAGCACTCCTCGATGACCAGCATCTTGTCCTTGGTGGTGCCGAACGAGATCTCTCTCACCAAGCCGGCGCTGCCGAGCTTCTCGGGGCTGAGCTCTTCGAAGCGCGGCACGATGCGCCCGCCCGTCGCTATGGCGATCAGTTCGATTTCGGGGCCGCCCACCTTCAATGAACGGATCATTTTCACTTAAATAATAATAATGATAAAAGTGCTTCATTGGTTACCCAATTGGTCACCGACCGAAGTCCTTCATCCTGTATTACATTGAAATCTATTGTATTCCATTTCATTGATTGAATATTAAACTATAATCAAATTTATGTGAAATATATGTGAGATGATGTGAGTAAAAAAAAAGAAGGAAAGTGTTCAAGATTGATCAATTTCTTATTTTCTTGGCATTTCTGCAATGTTGGTGAAGCATTCCACCAAGGTGTTTACAGGATATTTGTGACTTGAGGACTTTGTAGGGTGTCTTTGAATGCACTGGGTTTGAATGATCTGCAGGTTACTTTCATTGTTGGAGAACTTCTGTGCTAGTTTTTCCAGCCTCTCGCTAATTGGTTGTACATTAGTGAGTTGGTAGAGGAGTTAATTTGGAGGGTTGTGAAGGGGTTTTGGGGATGTCCTATTCTCGTGATTGCTCTCAGGCTAGATCTTCCTGCTACTTCTAGATTCTTCATGAGTGGCTTTCTGGTGTTGATGTATATTGGGTGAGCATATTCGAGTATGGGGCGACATATGGCTTTGTAAATGTGAGCTGCTGTTTTTCTCTCAATTCCTCTCTTCATATATGTTTCCGAAAATGTGTTGTGATACACTTTTTTTTTCATCCATTTGTCACACCATCTCATAGTATCCTCAATTGCTTCTTGTAACTTTCTCACAGTTTTTTCAAGTGTTTTGTTGTGGCTAATTATGGCAGTGTCGTCAGCGAATTGAATTCCATAGTGAATCGTTCCTGATGGTTCGGAATGTTCTGGACAAATACGTCGTGGCAGTAGATGTTGAACAGACATGGTTATATGGGTGAGTCCCTAGCAGCAAAATTATCGGGAATCAATTCTGCTGCGTGGGAGATTGGGTGAAAAAATGTCATGAGTTGGAGTTGCTTTTGATATGATGAGAATACGAACCCTACGGCCTATCCTGCGTAGATATCGAAAAAAAATCGACACTTAGGTATTGTGGTGCGTCACTGATCGAAATATTCGCGAGTGTTATTATAATTTTCCGTCAAACAAATAAAAAAAGGATAATAATAATAATATGTAATAATAATAATAATATGCTTTATTGTCTGAAGAAGAATCTTGTTAAATGTTGAAATATAACGACATAAAAATACGAGACAATATAGTCAAAATAAACACATTAAAATACTAAAATATCACAACGCAAACGTTTCACTATAATATTCCTGCAAACTTCAATAGGGTCTATCAGGAAGGAACTTTTAGACTTTCTTCCTGAATTGACAGTCATTCAGACTTGCTGACCTTATATCAACTAGCAAGTGGTTGTACATTTTCCCACTATTATATATAGTATTTGGAATCTTTAATAAACTCTCTTGTCGGTAGAGGAAGTTTCAAACTGACATTTCTGTTGCGCGTGTTATGATGGATGGGAGTTGTAGTGAATTTTAACTTGTGTTTATTGATCAGGCAAACAGATTCCAGAATGAATAGTGCAATCACTGTCAATATTTTATTATTGGAAAATGAAATTCTGCAAGAATCTCAAGAAGTATGACATTACATAGATACCTTATCGCTCGTTTTAGTAAAGAATCCTCATTCCCTCACTGCATAACATCCAGAAGAAATCTTACCAGTAAGTAGCTTGACGTGGTTAGTTAGTTTCAGATATATTGAACGACAGAATATTGGCGTCACACCAATCTTTCACCTGTTTCAAATCAGTTGATATCATTGGATTCCTACTGTTCCATAATATAGTAGTATCATCTGTGAATAGAGTGAACTTTCCAGTTATATCAATTTTCGTGAGGTCGTTGATATACAATAAGAAAAGTACAGGTCCCAACACAGATCCCTGTGGAACACCATAATCAATATTTCTCTTTTTGGAAAGTACTGTCGTTTTGACCACTTGATTTCTTCCTGATAAATATGATTCGAACCATCTGTATGTCATTCCTCTGCATCCATACTGATGAAGCTTTCTCAGCAGTATTCCATGATCAACACATCCTCTGCATCCATACTGATGAAGCTTTCTCAGCAGTATTCCATGATCAACACAGTCGAATGCTTTTGATATGTCACAAAACACCGCCGCGGAAATCTCATCTGCATTTATTTCCGAATAATGGTAGATTAAGGACAGCGATACCGGCGAGCATGGAGTTGAGCGCGGGATGAATGCACCGAAGTTAGGTGAGGAGTCGAGGAGACTGAGAGGCAGTTGGGTGCTGACAGTTGTCCAGTGAAGTAAGGCCAATAGAAGTTGTTAACCCAAAACATCGGAAAAACGCTGTGCATTGTGAAATAAGGTTATTTCAAGGCATTAGTTGAGAAGGTCTTGAAAACAGAACTGCTGAGTAGCTGAGACATTCTACCATATCTACGAGTGAAATTGGATGAAGGCTCGTCCGGCCAAAGTCGTATACATATTATTATCCCCTTCTCAATAATACACTGTGGTAGTACCCAGGTATGTATAAACTATTTAGTACTCAATCTGAACCTAGTGATTTTGGACTGAACATTCAAGGGACGTTTGGGGAGAACTCTTATAAAAAAATAATTGTGATTCGAATTAGACAGTTGTGTTGTTCTCAACGGAACTTTCATGATACTGTATTATATGTATTTGGCTCCCTAAAGGTTACTTTATTTCTGGATCCCTAAGTATTCCCTGAGAGTATAAAGAGCAGAGCATTTCAGTATAACTTGTTTTTAGTACTAAAATGTGAGAAACATTAAATAACAAATTTTTCATCTGAAATCCAATGACTATAGTTTTAAATTCAAATAAAACTTCAAAAAAATATTTCCTATAAGTTTAATGAAATATGACGCACTATATCAGTTGATTTTACTTGTAACTAAGGTTTAATAATCAAATTTTAGGAACATTGAAAACATTGATTCGTTTTCAACCATAACATCTGATATCACATGTCTACATAGAGTGAAATGAAACTGAGTGACTTTTGCCACTAGATATAATTACATTAATTCAATAGGTACTAATAAGACCATGCGCAGCACCGTAAATTTAATGATTGAGTGTTGAAACATCATCAAATCGAAGAGGATTTTTTGCAAAAAATCATTTTTTTAGAAAATAATTTTTTAGATGAGGCACATTTTCAACACGACGGATACATAAATAAGCGAAACTTCCGGATTTGGGGTATTGAAGATCCTCGTGTGATACCCACTTAACCAATGCATCCACCACGCTCTGCTCACATGTTAAAATATATCAATCACTAATTATCAGATTGCCTGATTCTTCAGTTGTTGTGTGTTGTGTTCTCTGTTATCTGCAGTAAGTATTCAGTATGAGTAAAAAATTCGATTTTAATTATGTTAAAGGTTAAAGGTAAAGGAATAACGCAATTATCGTGAAAGTGAAACTCTTTGTTCACTAAAAGATATTCATTTCCTGAAATGTTACGAAATTCATACCCAGTATATATCTACCTAATTTTGACGTCGTCAATCAAGCTGATATGGCTGTTGTCTAGCAATACATCAACAAATCGAGCTAAATTGTCATCCTGTGGGTGAAAACGGGCGGAAACTGACACTTTACCGCCCGCTAGTGCACAGATTCAATTCTCCGAGAAAACAGAACGTTATTGATTGTAATTAAACATACAACACAAACATTTCATTTCCTGAAACACTTGATGTTTGTATACACCATAACATTTTTTACTACCAAGGTGTATACTATATTTGTTTCATGATTAGTAATTGATTTATAATTAGTTTTCCTCTCGCGAACAGCCGCATTTACGCTGAATTTGGAACCACTTGAATTCATGCATTTGGATATCACCTTACAAATGTAAATTAATGGTGGATTCTAGAGCTAATGGATAAAACTAGAAATTAAGGTATTAATATACGTACCCATCTAACTGCCGGCAATTCTTGTTGTAGTAATAAATGATTTGCCTCATCATCAAAGCCCCACTGACAAATAGCTAAAGTAGCCCCAGCATTTTTCACTAATCCAACCTGAAAATGAACATCAAATTAATTTATATTGTCAAAATCAAGAAAGCTATAGCCAGATAAAACCAATTATATAATAATATGCTGCATTAATTTAAAACTACTAACAATTTCCTTGAATTTTTCTGCTTCATATTCCCTCAATTCCTTGTATGCTTCTACACTGTCAACGTCTAACTTGTGCTTCGTTTTGGGTTTTGGTGGTTCAAACGGGCAGGTGAGGATTGCCAACTTAACATCTTTCAGTACTTTGGGCATTTGTGGATGGGACATCGTTTTATCTATTACTACTCCTCTAACTAGACAGCTGTCTTCTAGTTTTCCACCAACCTAGAAAACCATAAGATAACATACACTCATCATTATCATCATAAAATCATTATTTTTCTTGTGTTTTTCAGAACGTACCTTTCCTTCAACTTTGATCAACTCGAAATTGACATCCTTAGTTTCCAAATCGGCAACAGCCAGAACAGCATCAACTGCGATTTCCGCCATCTGTTTGTGACACTTGTTAATAATCTTTGAGCCCAAGGTAGTCATTGCTACCTACAAAAAAATCTGGATAAAAAATAGGTAGGAGAATCAACAATAAATTCTTAGCATATCGCCGGCGACAATAGTGGCACATCTCAGAAAAATATAAAACACGTTAAAACACGTGAAACAATTCGAAATTTGATGAATTATCATCCATCAATACTGGTATAAAATTGGGTCAGATAGTCTTTTTGAAATGGCACTTGTGCCACTACAGGCTACCACGTGCTGAGCCCCATAAGTTGCATCAATGGCATATTTTCAGTGTATCGTTGATTCTGCTTTGTAATGTTTGGGTAATAGTGACACATTTAAGCAGTAGCAACGATTTGGTTCAGCATTAGTGGCACATTTTGAGCTATTACACTGTTACTTTAGTCAAATGTGCCAGTATGGTAGATACATTTAGTTTATATAGTTCATTTGTTATGGTGTTTTCCAATAAAGTTTATTTATATCTGGTACATTTTCATTATATTTCAAAATAACTTGGAAGCATTTATTGAACTTTTCATGAATTTCCATTGAACTGGTTTCAACAATGGCACATCTTACAAACAGCACCTTTTTTTGAAACAAAAAATAACTCAATAATCCCCAATGATTAGGAATATGATAACCCACCAATTACCACAGTCAAGTTAATAAATAATATTCAAATGCCATCACAACACTCAAAAATGAAATAGCTTAACTTCAGCTCTGTGAAAAATCAAGGATGCCAAAACCCTTGCGTCAATGATACTTTAATGAGATGTTCTTTATTGTCAACAGACATTGGGAAAATAATACCTTAATGAGAGGTTCTTTATTGTCAACAGACATTGGGAAAAGTTCTGCAATCTTTTCCAAATGGGCTACGGCAGTTTGACAGGCCAATTCAAATCCGTCCGCTATTCTGATGGGATGAATACCACGATCCAATAAAGCGCCTGCTTGTTCAAGCAGAGCTCCAGCCAAGACTACAACACCAGTGGTACCATCACCTAGAAAAATGGAGACGGTTAAGTGAAAGTTACAATAGTGCACAGAGGATTCACCATAAATGTCCCCCCACCTCTAACTCAGATATTTTTGACCCGATTTCAAAATGTTGAGAACAATTTGAAATGATTTTTCATACATTTTTTCTCAGCTACATCAGAAAATATAGGGTGCTCGGAACAAACGATCCACAGGGTAATCTTTGGTAGAAGTCCAAGTAGAGTGTATTCAAAGGAAGGAATGCTCGAATTCATTTCCAGTCAATTTTTTTTTCGGTATATGAAATTTCGATAAGATGAATTGTATGTGCTCTCAGGGCACGGGACATTACCGAAATTGGAACTTGCTGGAGCACTTCTGTTAGCTGAATTAGTGAATAGAGTAATAAAGGATTTGAATCTGAATATAACAGATATATATTTATGGTGCGACTCCACTATCGTTTTGGAGTGGTTGTCCGTATCGCCAGGTCAGTGGAAAACTTTTGTTTGTAACAGGGTTGCCGAAATTCAACGCTCAACAGAAGTAACTCAATGGAGACATGTGAAGTCAGAAGATAACCCAGCGGATGTAATTTCCCGTGGCACTACACCAAAAAAATTGATAAATTGCGATTTATGGTTGAACGGCCCCTCATGCAATCGCTCAACAACTGGAGCAGTCCTGGAAGTGGTTCGCAACATTGTTGAGTCTCGAAAGAGGCGAACATACTGCTGTCACAATGTGGGACTTGAGTAAGGCTTTTGATTGCGTCAATCACGACTTGCTGGTAGAAAAGCTCAATTTCTATGGGATCCGTGGCACTGCATCAGACCAGACCTTCTTAAGTCTTACCTGACCCAACGAAAACAAACTGTATGTATAGGTAATTCATGCTCGGATGTTAGATCTATAGAACACGGAGTTCCTCAGGGCTCTATTCTCGGTCCCATTCTGTTCGTAATATACAAAAACGATATCTTTAACTATCTATTACCTAACATCTGTGTATGCTATGCAGATGACACAACAATGTTGCGGGCCAACACTAGCGCTGAAGAACTCGAGCAAACTATTAAAAGAGTTGAAGATATAGCAGAGGAATGGTTTTCTGCGAACATGCTAAAACTCAACAAAGATAAAGCACAAAAAATCCTGTTTTCAACCAACTCCAATTTGACATCAAATCACCACACAAAACTCCTAGGCATAGTTCTCGATGACGGCCTGAGGTGGGAAAATCACAAAGATCAGCTTTGCAAAAAACTCGCTACACAACTCTACTTGCTTCGTCAAATGAAAAAGGTGTTGACCTTGGAAGTATTAATCATATCCTATCACAGCCTATTCCAGTCACATTTATCATATGGAATCCTACTATGGGGTAATTCAACTCACTCAATTAGAGCTTTCCGTATGCAGAAAAAAGCACTTCGTACTCTAGCTGGGGCAACATATGATGAACACTGCAAACCACTTTTTAAACATTTCAAACTACTCATTTTAAATATCTCGACACATTTCCGCAATAACATGACTCATTCGCGACCCATGCAAGCTTCCATAACTATCCAACAAGAAAGGCAGGAGACCTTAGACCGCCAAGGCTCAAACTAACATCTACTCGCAACACCTTAGATGTTAAAATATACAATAAACTCCCACCACACATCAAAAATATGAATATCTTTTGTTTTAAAAACTCAATAAAGAAATTTCTTCTTGAAAAATCTTTTTACTCAGTTCAGGAATACATGGAGACTCCATTCATCTAGACATCTGAACTTTTGTTATATGACCATTGTCGGTCTTGAATATGTAATGTCCAATGTACCTACTATGTCATTACATGTATTTTTATTTTTATTGTATTGTACTTACACACTGATATATCTATTAATTATTGCTACTTTTCATATTAGGTTTATACTAGTTTTATATTCTTATGGAGTTTTATTTTTATTGTATTGTACTTATACACTGATATATCTATCAATTGCTATTTCTCATATTAGGTGTAGAATAGTTTAACACTCTTATAGAGCTTATTTTATTTCATATCGCTTTCAATACACCCTATTACCTGTATCTCATTTTGACTTGCTACAAATGTATTTATACATAACGCGGTTAATAAAATTTTATTATATTCTATTCTATTCTATTCATGGTGAAGTCAAGCGCCAAACTCGTGGCCAGTATATGAAAGACAAAAATTTACCATCATACCTGAACATAAAGTTGCAAAGCTAAAATCATTTATATTAATAACCGAAACCGATTCTTCTTTTGATAAATACTCTTGTCCCAACAAATTGAAAAGGGTTATTGCGTATTGTTTGAGATTCAAAAATAATTCGCCCAGATTAGTAAATCGACGAGTTGGGACGTTAGCATAATATTATGTATGATGAAATCACTGAAGCTTTTCAGGTATTATTGAGAATAACGCAGTCACAAGAATTTCCTGAAGATCTTGCTCGGCTTCAAAACGGAAGGAACTTATCTAAATGTAGCAAATTATCTACATTCAATCCATTTCTAAACGAGCATAATATCATTCAAGTAGGTGGTAGAAGTAGAATAACGAACGCGAAGGTTGATCATAAACATCCGATAGTTCTTTCAAAGAATCACAAATTGACAAAACTTATAATACAAAACGAACATTGAAAAATTGTCCATTCAGGTCCTCAGCCTACTTTGTTCAGTTTGCGTTTGCAATTTTGGCCACTCAAGGGACGTAACATAATTAGAAAGATTGTACACGACTGTATTGTTTGCTTTAGATTTATACCACGCCTACTAAAACAGAAAATGGGAAATTTACCATCTCATCGTTTGGAGCCAGTTCGGCAGTTCGGCCATATTACAATAGAAGTCTAGATTATGCAGGTCCATTTTATAACAAAGATGGTGAAACACGATCCCTTAAAATGGTAAAGTGTTACGTCTGTATTTTTGTGTGGTCTTGTAACAAAGGTAGTGAATTTGAAAATTTCGAGTGATTTAACAACTCAATCATTTTTTAATACATTAAAAAGATTTATTTTTGGCAGAGGAATTTCCAAAAATCTTTATTATGATAACGACACAAATTTCCGTGGTGCCTGTAACGAATTGAAGCAATATAAACTGGCATTTTATACCTTCAGGTCCCCTCATATGGATGGGATATGGGAGGCGGCCGTAAAATCCGCAACATAATTCAAAAAGAATTATTGGAAATGCTCATTTAACGTATGAAAAGTTGACCACAGTATTCATTCAGATAGAGGCTATTTTGAAGTCAAGGCCATTGAATCCTCTATCAGACGATCCTTCCGACCATATTCCTTTAACCCCAAGCCATTTCCTGATAGGAGACGTTCTAACTTCTGTCCCGCAGCTGCACATGAAGGAAGTGTCAACAAACAGAATTGATCATTACCATCGGCTTCAACAATTGTGTCAACACTTCTGGGCTCGCTGGAACTCAGAAAATCTGTCATCTCTTCAGCAACGATATAAGTGGAAGTCCCAGGTCCACGAATTGAAGGTCGGCGACATGGTTCTACTGAAGAATGAAAATTCTCCACCCATGAGCTAGCCATTGGGAAGAGTTGCGCAACTTCATCCAGGCAGCGACGAATTGGTGCGAGTTGCCAGCGTTAAAACCGTGAACGGTTTGGTGAGACGTGCAATTAATAAATTGTGTAAACTACCTATAGGAGCCATTGAAGACTGATGATATCGAGACTGAATGTTCTGCTTATTTGATACATGTTCTATATATAATGATATATGATATGTACATTCAGATATATTTTGTGTTTTGGAAGTGCAGTCTCAGAGGCTGTATGACACCTGTTAAATTTGATGACAAATATGATAACAAAAATGATAACAAAAATATTTTCTATTTGCCATACAGTATAAATATTTATAATATCAAAATATTTAGAACCAGTCCTATATTTTTACAAGAATGTTTGCAAATCTGCGCAAAATCAGCACCTTTATGACACATAAAAAATATTTTCCTCATCATTTTTGTTAACATTTTTGTCATCAAATTTAACAGGTGTCATACAGCCTATTATATGATTCCAAGGGAGGCAAAATGTTCGAGCCATTTTTCATGATTTATGACCATCGGACTTTGGGAACTATTTGTATACCAAAAGGGGATGACTACCTGCTTCATCCTTTCTGTGTTAGAGTATGAAAGCAGTTCGAATTTAGTCGTCATTGAGACACGTTCTATTTTTCGTTCGTTCATGTTGAATTATTAGGTAATAAAATACCAAATTAATCAATATTATTGAGTTCAAGGTTCAAGAAAGAGTATTTTGAGTAGAGTCTGTAGTTTAATCGAGCAAGTGGATGTTCTCCAGATCTTTTGGGAATTTATTCCATAGTCTCTTGCATAAATAAGCTGCCGCACAGAGGAAACAAACATACTTAGGCGTCTCAAAAATGCCTTAGTTATTTTTTAATTTAAATTTTTCATCAGGTATTGCGGGCTCTGCCATGAATTCTGCTATCAAATGAAGGATGTGTGTAGAAGAGTAGATAATATAGGATAATAGACCAACACACACTGAGCACTTACATTTTATTCTTTTTCTACTTCTAGATATCTTGGAAAATTACTGGATAGGGATTAACTTCAGGGCCTCAACGGTATCGGGTGTGACAGCGTTAAGATTTAAATCTTGGTCCCTTAATCATTTTTGGCAGAAACAAAGGATTATCCCTTCATGAATCTGTACTACAATACCTGTTTGTTCATATAACTGTATGTACATAGGAATATGTGAATTATTTCATTTTATTTTTGTATTTGCTAATGTTCAGTGTGTTTTAACGTTTTGAGTTTTGACGTCAGCAACATGCTCCTGAATTATTCACACGTACTTAAGAAACACCCTGTATATTTTCGTAGATTTTTTACTTTTAAAAATTTTATGGTATCGAGATTCCCACTGAGAGAATATTTGTATGAGCAAATATCAAATATTAGTGCATGGATAATTTCAAGAAGTGATTACAATCCCAGTCTAACTTTGATTTCTGTGAATTTCTTACACAAGTGTTCAATATGAAACGACCAGGAAGACCTTTGCAAATCCGCTCACATCAATGGCAGAATATTTCAAAAATAATTATTCTGGAATTATTAATCAAATTAAACATGTCACAGTATAATTTTTTCCCGAAATTTCAAGAAAGGGCCCTTGTGGAGTCAATTCTTGTCCGACAAAATATTGTGAGATATAAGTACACATCAAGCACCATCAGAGGAACAGATTTCTGTAAAAAAAACTCCCATTCACATGTATTTTGAAAGTTATAATTTTTGTTCGCCATTTCAAAAATAGGTGGCCTGTAAAGTTAATTCTTGCCCAACAAAATTTTGTGAGATATACTTTGTTAGTTAGTCAGCAGGGTTAATGACTTTGAATTTCTGCCAGAAACCTGGAAAATATACCATGTGTTTTTCAACAATGTACCAGTACTTCACATAAAATTGATATCAAAGCTTTTGTTGACATGTAAAAAGATCACAGCATACCAAATAAGTTTATTGTCCTCTATGGTTTAGGGCAGTTTTAAAATAGCAAAGAATTATAATTTCACCAGAACTGTCACTAATAGGGAAAAAATAAACCATCCTCTGGGCTTACTAATAGTCTATAGACCTTAGTATTGGCATCCTATGTATGTCAATAGCTGTGTCACTCTGTGTTGGCTAGTCACATTCTCTCTACACTGAGAGTCCAATGAAATACCATTGACATCCATGTTTTTTATGTGTGAAAGTAGCCATGTTTTTTCTGTGTGAAGGTAGCCATGTTTTTTTCTGTGTGGAGGCAGCCTCGTTTGTTTCTTCTGTGGAGACACAATCATTTTTGACACACCATGTATATCTGTTGAAGGTTTTGCAGCTTTTGTATTGGTCATCATGTTTTTTCTGTGTGTATTAAAGACTTTTTGTGTTAGCTGTGGTTTTTTCTGTACCATTAATGACTGAGATTATGATTTTTGCAAATAGCAATCATATTTGTAGAAAGTTTGTTCATCAGCATTTAAATTATTATAAGTTGCTCTACCAATAGATACAGAAGTCAAATTGATTAATCCATGATCAATTTACTCTGTTTCTCAGCAAGAATTATTCAGCATAAATGTTAACAAAGTATGTACCCTTGTGAGTTCCTATGTCCCTGTACTAACAATTCATTTCCTCATTTCTTCTTGAAATAGTAATCATGACATTTTCAAAATGAAGACTTGAGTAAACTAATAATTTCAATTGATAATAAATTGACAGTTTCAGAACCCTTTATCCTGTAGCTCAAGCTCATTTCATTTGAATTCATAATAGCTTTCACATCTAAGTGTGGATTTATGCAGCATCAATCTACAATTATCAATTAGTAAGGAGTAGCTATAATGTTACCATTTATGCAAACCAAATTAACAATAAAAAATATGCAGGTGCAAAAGTCCATTCCAAGCCATTCAAGATAATCATAGAACATTTTTTCATGATATTTTAGACACATTTTTGGGATATTGCTATCACAAGTGGGGCCAAGAATAAAAAATAATAGGAATAATGAAAATAGAAAGAAACAAAACCAGGATATATTTTGAGGTTAGTTTCCATCATAGGATGGACCAATCCTTGGTCATCTACAAGGTCATCTGCCCACTAGTTGGATACAATAAGAAAACCTGGTTCAATTAATACAAAAAGTTTAAAGTTGACCAACCTTCTACTTGTAATTCAATAAATGGTTAATTATCTACATGAACACAATGATTGAAAATAGCAAGTTCAACTCATAATTTATAATTGTAAATTGATAATAGTTATTTGATAATTGTTAATTAATGCAGCATAAATCCACACTATGATGGAATATTGCTACACCCTAATATCTTCATTAATGAAACAATTACTTGGAACTTTCTGTGTATGATTATATGGACACAAAATATATCTCACTTCAGTACCCATCATAGGCATTTAGAGAATTCTAGTCTCTGAATAGAGAAAATTGAAGACACTTTTTATATCAAATTACTTTCTTACATGTCCAATATAGTGAACAATATATGAAATATATCAAATTAGGACATACCAACCATGAACTTAAGTTATTTGTAGATAATGGCTACATAAGCTAAGACAAAAAAGGGTGAAGAGTTCTTGAACATAAGCCATAAGCAAAAGGGTATTAGGTATTAGGAAGACATTTTGCTGAACACATGGAATTATGAAAGAAAAGCCTGTAGGCATCAATTTTTCTAAGCTTAACAATCCCCTTATTGAGACAGGACAAATCACACAAACATAACTTGTTTGTGAATATTCTTGGAATGAACAGAACTGATACAGGTAGGAATTGAAATATTGTCCTATTGTCCACATTCTTTCATAATACATGGACTCAGCTGAGGATATATCAGAGGGCTAATTAAACTGGCCAAACTTGCCAATTTCATCATCTTGTGACTGTGACAACTGCACCAACAGTTTAGCAACTTCATGTTCAACATCCATCATTTTCAAAATAGTAGCACCATCATTTGTTACTGTCACTTCACCATCTGGAGAGACCATCATTTTGTCCAAACCTTTGGGCCCCAAAGATGTACTGATTGTATGGGCAATTTGCCGTGCGGCAAGTATATGAGACTGAAATAGTAGGACATTGTCATAAATAAATATCTCATGATCTCTCAGATATCAAAATATAACCTCACCTTGAGTGCATCGACTCCGGTCAATCTTTTCTGATTCTCTTGATCCCTGAGAATAATAAAAGGACGCCCATATTCATCGAAGGCGATACTTCCCGGGAAGGAAGTCATCTTTGATTAAATGAAATATCAGATAGAAAAAAGGATGATTAAGGATATTAAATCAAAATTAACAATTAAAAATATACCATTTGTTTTCACTTTTGACACTTTTGACAGTGACAGTTGAATATTGAAATTTGAGCTGACGAGTGACAGGTGACTTGACACTTGACGAATGACACAGTGGAAGACGGCTATATTCCGAATTCAACTGACAAAACGAATCTGCTGATTCATCATTCCGAAATCAAAAAATATTCAAAAAATTCACTGAAGGGGCTGTTCGTTTTTCGTTTTTCGTCCCCATAGTTGTCTATGTTCATGACATGATGTAAACATGTAAACAGAGAAAGTCATAAAAAAATGAAGTTCAGCAGGTAGAGGAAGCATAAACAGACAGGCCTATTGTAACAGATACAGATACTTGAGTCACTGGATGGTATTAGTTAGGGTCCCTTGATGGAAATTGACGTTAAAGTCATCTTAACAGGGTACGGACAGATCCTCGTCTCCTCTCACTCTAAAGTGTTTGTGAAACAGTTATATAGTTCCATCCTTATTCAATTCTAGGGAAAAACACTAGATTTTTGACATTCGTTGTTTTTAAGGTTATATTGAGGTCACTGGCGTATCATACGTAATTTCCATATGGAATTCCTGATTCAACTATACTAAGGTATAGATGTACAATCCTCCAGTTTTAGAGTTTACTACTCCAGCATAATCTTTGCGAGGTAGGGAACATATAAATTGTACTGAAAGCTTAATATATTTCACTAAGAGAGACTGTTCTTAACTGTATACTAGGATTGACTGAATTGGCTGAATGAATTCTGATTTCAAGCTGAGCAGAAGTTTATCTATCAGCTTAATGAGCTGAACCTTATGATTGAGAAATGATGGAAACCGAAACTACTGTACTTATTCATGTGTGCTCAATATATTTTTGGAAATCCAGCTCGGTGAGGAATTTATGGAGTGACTAATATCACGTATATCATGTATAAAACTTTGTCTAGGACAAAAAGTATATAGGCTGATAAAAAGTAATACGTAAAATATGCAGGAAAATAAAGAATAGAATATACTTTACCCCCATGTTATACATATGATTTTTCCGTCCCCCTCAAATTAAAAGTCATTTTCGAACAATTGATTGATAAAAGTAACAAGGATGTAGGTATACGCAGTATAACTTATAGTCACGTTATTTCCACTCTTGCACATCTTACATATTTTCTATTTGTGGTAGAGTAATAATCATATAAACTAATGTCTTTCGCCATATCAAATCCGCCAACTTGAATTTTCCAATTTTGACGAAACGATCATTATCTCCTACCCCGGAAACCCCCAGATACCAATTTTGAATAGAATCGAATCTCCATTACAAAACTCGTCCACCATAATGGATCCGCCATCATGAAAATCCCAATTTTGACGAATTAATTATAATCTCCGACCCCATTGACAAAAAATCATAAAGTTCGACCCCGAAAACCCCCAGATACCAATCTTAAATAGAATCAGATCATAATTAGAAATTTCTTTCGCCATACGGGCTGATCCACGGTGGCAGCACTGAGAATATTTCAGGTCGATAGAACACAACTAATTATTCAAGGCACCAACTTTTCAGAATAATCCTGAGTTGCATTTTCCAGAAACGTCTAATGTGCCATCCACCGTGAATCAGCCTGTATATTGGATTGGTCATCTTGAATTTTCCAAGTTTGACGAAACAATCATCATCTCCAACCCCGGAAAACCCCAGATATCTTCCAATTTTTAATAGAATCGGATCATAATTACAAAACTCGTTCGCCATATGATCTTCAACAAGTAAACACCCTGTACATACCTATTATTGAAATTTGTAGCGCCCGTGGATGTGACGTGACAGCAATGTCAGGGATGCCAGTAGACAAAACTAAAGTCTCTACATCATTAAAAAAGAATGCAGCTATGATCTGTCCGTACCCTGTTAGGATGACTTTAACGTCAATTTCCATCAAGGGACCCTAGTATTAGTTTGATAAGAGTTCGGACACAGAAATGACAACGGTTAGGGTTTTTGAATGTTCAGATTTATAAAGTTACACACCTTGCATTGTGACAAGATCACCATAGTCGTCCCGCGCTTTTTCATTCAATTTTTTTTTTAATTTGACAATTCATTTTATAAACGTCAGAATTGAAATAAAATTTCATAATTATTATACTTTCGAGATGAAAGCAGCTATGGAAATCACTTGCTGAATAATAAATTGTGGCAATTTTGAAACAAATGGATATCATTTATTCGATTTTCCAAATCAAATATCAAGCATTCGCTTATGGAAGGAAGATATGAAACGGCCTGGGTGGAAAATCAATTTGAAGTCGAGCAAAATTTGTGAGGTACTCATTGAAATTCACTTCTTATTACAGCAGCTGATTAAAATGAATTTATATTTTAGGCCCATTTTCAAACAGAAGATTTTAAAATCTGTTTGAGAGAATCTGGCTGTTCCGTAATATATTCGAACGGACATTGTCACTGTTGAAAGTGATGATTATCGATTTCCACACATGTATATTTCGAGTCATTTGTCCAATTTGTCCCAATTTTATCTGCTCATGATTGTCAGTATCTTTCACTTCTGCCTTCTGCCCGTAACTCCCAAAACCAGATGGGGAAGAGCTACACTATCTCAGCTACACTGGTGTGGAAATTGTGGAATGCACTTTTTGTACAGTGAAAAATTGGTGAAAACTACACGAAGTGTAAGTAAGTGCTACACTTTTCATGTAAATGAAAGGACCTACCATGTTTTTTCTTGTCTTGTCACTCGTGTCAGTTTGCCAGTGTCAAATACTGTCAATAATCAACAATAAACAGCTGATGCTGATTTGAGTGATTTGTGTGTGTTTTTCTCAGACGAATGTGTTTTTAATTTCCTTCAAAACTAGTGGTATTTTTCATTTCCCGATGTGACAAATCGTCCTGGTAATGAATACACTATAATTTTGTATCACCAAGTTGCACCTAATCCCTACCGAAATGAATCGTCCCCAAAATTATGGCTCAATCTCATCACCAGCAGTAGGTTTCAGTGGGAACATCAATCCGGAATTCAACAGTTATTGTGATAGTGTTGTCACTAATATCTACACGATAAATTCTAGTCTCAAAACACTGGAAAACGCATTGAAAGTTATTGGCACAAAGAAAGATAATCAAGGAGTCCGAAACCAGGTGTAAGTTGAGGCTTTAATCATGAAGTAAATTTGATAATTTAGTTTTACCAACAAGTAGTTGATGAACACATACCATGTAACAGGGGTCTTTATCTTCATCTATAGGCATGTCACTCAACTCAGCACAAACCAGATAGCTTCAGTTACTACAAAAGACATCAATAAACTGAAAATTGTAGTTGCAAAAGGTGAAAAACAGAAGCAACTACAAGTTGAGAAGCTTGAGGGTAACTTCAAAGAGGCCATTAATAGATATTACACATTACAAAAGGTGAGAATAAAGGACTCTCGAAAGGACTAGACTGAGACTGGTCTGATTATAACATGATAATAATCAATTCAATAATTACAGTGACACCATACAGTCATTCATTAAGAGTCACTGTGATAATTATATAGAGAACCAAACTGAACAACACTTTGATGATTTTATTGTGAAACAAATTCTATGGTCACTGTCACTCCAAGTATCACTCCTTGTATTTTTTGTTGTTTTACTTTTTATGAGTCTCATTAGTGTAATTCACCAATATGACTTGTTTAGTATATAAATAGGTATGAATTCTGTAGGGCAGGAGGTTGAACATGGAAATACATCAATTTTACTATAGAGCTTTTTAATCTATAATAAGGAGAAGCTGTTTGCACAGCACACAGTGAGATAGTTCTATACCTACCAAGTGTTTTAAAAAGCTCTAAATGATTAGTAGTGATAGGTCAGTCATCCATAAGTGTTTTTTTCAATTGAATGAATCAGATCATAAATATATTGTGTCTTTCATAAAGTTGGCATTATATGGGAAAAACTTAAATTGACAATTTATTTTGGAATTCAACTTGGGCATCGAGTTTTGCTTTAAAAAATATGAAAAATGGCCTACTGGGTTGTGGTCTCCTGACTTTTGCTACATATCAGAAGTTACAAATTACAAGTTCACTATACACTGTTCAACCACTAACCAAACAAATTTTTCACACCTCAACTTGTGTGCTATCACATCTTCAGAAGAAGATTTAAACTAAATCAATCATGAAAGACAATAACCCCCATGGTAATGATAGGTCCATTATCCTTATTACTTGCTCTATTATGATTTATCTAACCTACCATATTTCAAATGGGCTAAGTGTTCTTTGAACCTTGTTATTATGGGATGACCGGTTTGGCCTATATAGGTTTTATCACAATAATTACAACTACTTTCCTATATTCCTGATTTTTCAAAAGTGTCCACCTTATCTTTTGGATTTTCTAATAAATTGCTTAACTTTGACCCAGACTATTAAATGCTTTCAAAACCTAAGTCTTTGAAAACCTAATCAAGTCCTTTTGTGTACTTGGAATTGAAGGGAATTGGGATTTTTCTTGGATTATTTTCATCTTCTTCGAAGGTTGTAGAATTCCTAAGTATCAACCTAAATTTACGTCTACATATTAATTTATCTACTATTTTGATATCATAACCATTGACGCCAGCAACTTTATAAACAACACTCCTTTCAACATTGATTCTTTATGTGCTCAGATGAAATGAGGCCCTTTTCTGTTGAAATCAGTGATTGGAGTCATTATGTATCTAAGTGTGTTAGTTTCTTTTCTAAAAACATCAAATTCTAAATTGTATTTGCCATTTTTGATCACCAGGACATTTAAGAATGGTAATTGACCATTATTTTCACATTCACAAGTGAATTTTATTGAGATGCAATTATTCAATTGTGAAATAAATGTAAGATACATCTGTGATTTTTGTATAAAAAATGGCAAAAATATCGTCGATACATATCTAATCCAAACCCTAGGGAAATACTCGAATTTTTCTTTTGCATTCATTTCCAACCGATTCATGAACAGTTCAGTGAAGAAAGGTGATAAACAAATACCCATGGCTGTGCCTTCATGTTGCTGGAAAAATTGTTGTCTGTATTGACAAATATTTCAGCTCATGCAGAGGTTTGTGAGATTGACAAATTCTTTGATATTATCCGGATCAAGTAATTCCCTTAAATATTCCAAAGTTGTTGGTATGGGTACACTTGGAAAAAGTGATGAAACATAAAATGATATTAGGATTTCACCTTTGGTCAGATTCAAACCTTCAACCTTTGCCAAGAATTCAGGCGAATTTGACACAGAATGATTGTTGTAAGGATTATTTGAAGTTTTGAAAACTTCGACCAACCAGTTTGAAATATTGTAAGATTTGTAAGTAGAAGACCCAATTACCGTTACAATTGGTCTCATTTTCTTTCCGGGTTTGTGTATTTTTGGTAAACAATATAAACTTTTATACAGGGCTTTCATTTCAAAACTTACCACCCAGCATATCTTTTGATTTGCGAAGATTACAGTTTTCGAAAAAAACAGGTTGATTTAGATATCAAGGGGGAAGTAAAATGCCAGTATCAATTGAATTCTATGTTCAGCCCCTTCACCCCCAGACACCCCTACTTTGAAATCTCAAATGGCACCCCTTACTTCGGAATACATGAAATTGAAGGTCTATCAATAAAGAAATCGACCAGGTGAAAAATAATGTATTTTGCATACAGGGTGGGTCATGAGGAACTGAACATACTCCTACCACGAACAGATGCCCCTGAGGGAAATACCGCATGGCCATCCACAATATTTCCTCCTCTTCTACAATAATATACAGTGTGATCCATAGGATTGGGCAAAAAATTATATTTTCGTCATAACTTTTCAACAGCTTCTTTGATTCATTTCATTTTTCCATGAAACATTATGCACTCCAACACCAATAGATTAACACTAACGTATACAGAATTGAAAAAAATCTAGGACCGGTACTTGTGAAATGTTGTCAGCTATCAAAGAGTTCACTCTGTATATATGGTTTCAGTAAACAATTACATCTTTTCTGTCAATCAGAACAAAATGTGTTGGTGCTTTATCCAGCTGAGGATGGTATACCCTGCTAGTTCCTTTCGATACCAACTAGAAGGATTTATTTTGACGAATCGTGTCTATGCAGAAATGCAATTATTCAGAGTGGTATTCAAAGCAATTGCACAAAATGTGCTTCATTATTCTCTAGACAATAATACAGCCTATTTTCGAATTCTTCACGAACTTTTGAAACGTTTTCCGATTGATTTGTGTGCATTCGCTCAATCCTATAAATCACCCTGTTCATTATTGTAGAAGAGGAGGAAAAACTCCAGATGGCTATTCGATATTCCCCTCAGGGGCCTCCGTTCGTGGTAGGAGTATGTACAGTACCTCATGACTCACCCTGTATGCGAAATAAATATTTTTTCACCTGATTGATTCAATCATTGATATACCTTCGATTTTATGTATCTCAAAGTAGGGGGTGCCATTTGAGATTTCAAAGTAGGGGTGTGTGGGGGTGAAGGTTATGAACATAGCATCCAATTGATACTGTTATTTTACTTCCCCCTCGATATCTTAATCGACCTGTTTTTTCCGAAAATTGTAATCTTCGCAGATCAGAAGATATCGCAGGGTGGTAAGTTTTGAAATGAAAGTCCTGTATATAATCTCATCATTTGATTAAATATCAACATTTCGAAAATCTTGGACAATACCGGAAGCCTATTAATAGGTCTCAAATCAGACAGTTGTTTAGGGTTTGAAACTTTTGGAAACGGCAAAACAAGTTATTAAAATATTTAAGTTTAGAATAGAATAGAAATTATTGATCTCCGAATATCCAATAATGACATAAGACAGGTCAAAAAAATCGAAAAGTCTAGCCGAAACTAGAGCATTTACCTTAAAATATCAAAATTGGCCAATAATATATAGGTCAATAAATACAATATACAATAACATAATACAAAACTAGAGACTAACAGGTAGGTACATCAAAAATCCAGATCAACGTATATATAGCAGTTTGGACATAATTCAACGATTATTTTCAAAATAACATTCTCAACCGAGAATGAACACATGTCAATGAGATAATTTTTATTTTCCTCTTTGAATTAATGCACCAAGACAATATCTTTGAAACGTTGTTGGAGACTTTTGTATAGTTTAATTCCCATTACTCTAGGTGATTTCTTGCAGATTTCTATTCCCTGGTAAGGTATGGAAAAGTCTGATTTATTCTTTTCTGTGACATAAAAATACTTTTAGCATGAGGAGAGCTCCCCCAAATACCAATCCCATAACTGATCCTAGACTGTATTTATAAAGTAAAGTGAACGAATCTGATTTATATTGAGTGTTTTTCTTAAATTTCTAATTTAAAAGCATTTGGAGTTTAACATCTTGGATAGATTTAAACAGTGTGCTTTGAAGGACAAATCTGAATCAAATCTAAATCAAATAATACACCTTGTTATGTTTGAGTTGTTAACCAATATATCAAAGTTAGGGATACAAGTTTTTTGGCGAGGATGGAATGATACAAAATTCGTTTTAGTTGTATTAAACAACAAGTGGGGTACGTAGTTTTTGAAAGGTATCAGATTAGTATAAAGGTCAGATAATTCATACGACGTTAAAAAAGCAGATAATATTTTATCATTGCTCATGTAAGATGGAAGTAGAGGCCATGGCACCATATCATGAGCATATTTTTATATTGAAACTATCATTGGGCACCAATGATGTGTATACGACGCTATGAAAGTTCAGAGAACTGGAGATTTTTCGTACAAACTACGTACTTAGCCCGTATCTAGTTTATTGGCAAAAATAAAGACAGTAAAGTGAGCTAGGTACGTAGTTTATGGAAAAAAAAATCAATTCAGTCGAGTGTGCTTTTTTTACTTTCTTTGTTTCTTGTTTCGTTTTCTATTGGCAAGTGATTATCTAGGAACTTGTAAATTTTTTAGTTTTTCCATCGTATCTCCTGAACTATTGAATTCAGAGAAAAATGTTATAGAGATTTTTTGTAGATTTTATCAAAAGGAATAATTTTGGTTCTATAACATTTTCAGATATTTCCAGTTGTTTTCGAGATATTTGGAATTATCTGAGAATAAAATTTTCAACACTTTTGTTCCATCTTCCAATCAACAAAATGAAAAAATATTTCATGGTTCAGTGGAAGTCGATGAGCTTCATCTATCGATAATCTATTTTTTTCAATATATCTTCATAGTACCCTATGGGTCGTTAAAATTTTTTTTTTCATATTTTTCACTTTATTTCCTGTACTATTGGTTTTACAAAAAAAAAATATGGGAAATAATTTGTAGGAAATGTCCCAGTGGATAACTTTGCACTCTTGATAATTTTCGATTTTTCCATTTGTTTTCGATATATATTGAATTGAAAGGATTTCAAATTTTGATGTTTTGATTTTCATTTGTTTTTCCATTTTCCGATGGATGCACGAAAAATTGGTCGAATAATAATTTGTTGCGTCATCAAAGAGGTATACGGTGCATTTTTCAAATTCGGATTTAGTCTATTGGTTCAGGAGATATGTCGTTTTAAAGTGAACCGTGTTTTTCGGAAAATCTCCTTGAAAAACCCACTTGGAATTTCCCGACCCTGCTCAATTTCAATAGGCTTCGTCTCTCCGTGATAGAGTTTTTTTTCACAGAAAATGAAATCGATCGGACCACTTTTGCGATTTGTAGAGTGGTTACAAGAAACTTCCGGTGAAAAATCGAAAAAACCCGGAAAAACTACCTTAGAGTTTTCCGATTTCCTTTATATTTTAATGACATAATATTGTTTCGAGTACAATAAGATGGCAAAATTTCAAGGCGATATGTCAAAGGGTTCCGAAGATATATCGATTTAGGATTAACACAGAGTACAGACAGACAGACAGACAGACCACACACAAAAACCAAAGTTGCTCAAAATTCGATGGGGATCATTTTCTCCAAAGTAACTATACCTCTATCTCGCTTAGTTTCCGAGATAGCATTTTTGACAAGGCCGTAGTATACTCCACTATGTATAGCGTCGTATAACAAGTGAGGTACCTAGTTTTTGAAAGATGTAGTTTTCATTAGGTATTAGATTTAAGTATAGAGGTCAGATAATTTATACGACGCTATAAAAGCAGATGATATTTTATCATTGCCCATGTAAGATGGAAGTTGAGGCCATGGCACCATATCATGAGCATATTTTTATATTGAAACTATCATTGGGCACCAAAGATGTGTATACGACGCTATGAAAGTTCAGAGAACTGGAGATTTTTCCCACAAACTACGTACTTAGCGCACTCGACTGTCTTGGTTTTTCCACACAAACTACGTACCTAGCCCACTCGACTGCCAATAGGGACTGAAAAAACAAAAACGAAAGAAAGTTAAAACTTTGCCAACATATTTGTTCTTTGTGGGAAATCAAGACAGTCGAGTGAGCTAGGTACGTAGTTTATGGGCAAAAAATTTAGACAGTCGAGTGAGATAGGTACCTAGTTTATTGGCGAAAAATAATATACTCCACTATGTATAGCGTCGTATAACAAGGATTGATCACTAGAGCAGGCAGAAAATTCCATCCATCAAAGCATTAAGTTGTGCATCAATCCACTATTAATTGTTTATTATAATTCAAACACTCAATAGGAACTAGCAGACAAACAAAAATCTCATCTTCTGATCCCAGAGATCTCAGAGGATGAGATTCCACAAGGCGACGATGACAATCATGAGAGGCAGGCGCAGAGGACCAGAGAGCTGGCCTTTGAGCAGGACATGCTCTACGAGCGGGAGAGCAGGATAAGACAGATCGAGTCTGATATACTGGATGTGAATCAGATCATGAGAGAGTTGGGGTCTTTGGTGCATACGCAAGGAGAGACGATAGGTGAGGAAGGGTCTCTCTGAAAATTTGCATTTTGGGGAATTGAAAACCCCCAGTCAAAACTCCAACGAGAAACTTGAAACTCAGATTTCAATTTATTTATTCATTTCAACGGTTACAACATTTTTATAAAAGAAATAATAACAAAAGATGAATAATAATAGGAGCAATGAAAATTACACTCATACAAAAATAGCACTCAAGTTATATTCATTTTATTAACTAGGTATTCATAATTATTTTCACAACATTAGTTTTGAATTTACTTAGACTGCCACAGAATAGGTCACAATGATTTTGAAGAACAACATAATTCCTTTGAAGCCTTGAAATAAGGTTATTGTTGCCATAATTCGTTCAGTGAAAGGTCAAGAAAAATAAAGGAGGATTTCTTGTTCTGGCTGACGTATTGAAACTAAGAAAATCCGGAGAATTAGTAAGGCCATTTACCAATTTATATAGGAAACACATATCCAACGCTAATCTACGCTTTCCTAAAGATAGGAGATTGAGTTCCATTAAGATATCTGTGTAGTTCATATGAGCAACGCGATATGAATATGTTCTCAAGAACCTTTTCCGAATTCGCTCTAAACTATCTATATGTATTTGATAAAAAGGTGTCCAAATGATGGAACCATACTCTAGTGAAGGTCTGACCAAATGGCAATAAAGTGAACTATGTGTTTCAGAAGAGAATTGTTTACCACCTTACTACCTTAGTAATATGACTTCCAAACGTTAGTTTAACATAAAATATTATGCCTAAGTCCTTTATATCTCATTGACTTTCTTCAATACAGAATTATTCATTATATAAGCGTTCTCAATATAATTATGACCCATAGAAAAACACTTTAAAATATTGAGGTCCAAAATAATTAACCCTTGACCAAGCATTGAAGTTATTCAAATCAGATTGCAGCAGATCAATATCCATATGATGCTGAATTTCTTTAAATATTTTGAATATAACGTAAAAACAGAGTGAAAAATATTGCTTATATCGTTGACAAACGAATTGAAAAGTAACGGTCCACAATGAGAGCCTTGAGGAACTCCGGACAATACTGGAATCACATTAGATTAAAAACTTTTGATTCTCACACATTGTTGACAACCAACTAAGAAACTCTCAATCCATGCTACCAAACCCAGATTTATACCCATATCCATGAGTTTTGCTTATAACATAGATCTAATTACACAATAGATGGACAACCGCCGTGTAAATTTATCGCGCTCACGATTTGGATGTGAAATTTTTTAGTACTGGATTTGAGTTGCTAGATGGTGCTGTTTCTGCATCAAACACTGTTGGTAGAAATGGAAAATCAGTTTCGCCAACTTGTTCTTCACGATATGGGGCGTGGCGTAACGACGTGGCTCGGAGCTCGGAATGATTTATGATTAGAAGTGGAAGGGATAGGGATGAAAGGGGTTATATGCGGTAGGTCAGGAAGCCGTCTGCCGCTGCCGTCTTGCTCTTGCTAGATTCTTATGGCAGAACAAATTGCAAAATAATTAATAGGTATTCTTTCCGCGTGTATTTAGATCTCTTGCCCCCCCGTGCATCGGATGTCGCTCGAAATGAAATGAAATATGCACAGATGTGGAAGAATTCGTAGAGATTCGGAAATTACCTCTGAGAGATCTATGCTCTGAGTTTGATTAGGGGGTTGAGAAATGCCAGAGAATAAAAAATAAGACAGGTAGATATTGAGGTAATTCGGGTATGGGTCGAATTTTTGATACGTATTTGATTGGAATTAGATCTATGATAAAAAGAAAGGGCACAATATGGTAGGGGTAAGCGTGGCAAGGTGAAATTAGGTAGGCATAGATATTGGGGTAATGGGTAAATAATATATCTCAGGTAGATAGGTATAAGAAGAAGAAATTAGGTATTTCAATTCATTGTGTTCAATTACGTGTGTATTATCCAACGTGTTATACAGTGTGTCCCACTTACCATGCTCACCATGGGTATCTTTTTAACGGTGAGAGATACGAGGTCGGTTAAATGACACCAAATGTGGAGTTTGTCATGGCCAACTATAATGTGAAAAAATATTTTGAAAAAATCTATTCGTTTTTGTTTTATACACAAAAAACAGATTTTGATCATTTTCATGTCTCCTCCGTAACTCCTTTATTTATGAAAATATTCAAATGGGAATTTCACAATCTCATGGCAGTTTTTCGAAGTAATTTCGAAAAAAAATATGAAATTTATACCAACTCTTCTAGAATTTGAGATATCAGCACCAACTTTAGTTTTTCAAATGTAGGTCATAGCTCACTATGACTTAGTTACAAATAACTTTTTTTTCTCTTACAGATGATATATCGCAGTAATAGTTTTGTGTTGATAACAACGGAGTTATCGTCATTTATACAAAAACAAGAAATTATTTGGAAGCCGCCATTTTGAATTCATAAATTTCAACAAAAAAATCATGATCTCCGACCTCAAAAACCCCCACTTACCAATTTTGAATGGAATCGGACCAAATCTTGTCCGCCATCTTGGAGCAGCCATTTTTTTTAATTTCAACAAAAAATCCATAACTCCGATTAACTTAAAATCTGGCAGGTGTTCATAATTCGGGTGACAATACATTATGGAATTTTTGTTGAAATTAAAAAAAAATGGCTGCTCCAAGATGGCGGACAAGAATTGGTCCGATTCCATTCAAAATTGGTAAGTGGTGGTTTTTGAGGTCGGAGATCATGATTCTTTCGTTAAAATTCATAAATTCAAGATGGCGGCTTCCAAATAATTTTTTGTTTTTGTATAAATGACGATAACTCCGTTGTTATCAACACAAAACTATTACTGCGACATATCATCTGTAAGAGAAAAAAAAAGTTATTTGTAACTATCATAGTGAACTATGACCTACATTTGAAAAACTAAAGTTGGTGCTGATATCTCAAATTCTAGAAGAGTTGGTATGAATTTCATATTTTTTTCGAAATCACCTTGAAAAACTGCCATGAGAATGTGAAATTCCTATTTGGATATTTTCATAAATAAAGAAGTTACGGAGGAGACATGAAAATGATCAAAATCTGTTTTTTGCGTATAAAACAAAAACGAATAGATTTTATCAAAATATTTTTTCACATTATAGTTGGCCTTGTCCTTGACAAACTCCACATTTGGTGTCATTTAACCGACCTCGTATCTCTCACCGTTAAAAAGATACCCATGCTGAGCATGGTAAGTGGGACACACTGTATAGCGAGCTATTGTGCAAATTTATATCGAAAAATGGTTAAAAGTGGAAATAGCCATATAGAAATAAAACAAGATTATTTATTAAAAATCAAATTTTTAAAAAGAAGTGCCAAATTCTCCAAAGAGTTGAATGTAAAGAGCACATAGATTTTATTGTGGATCATCTCATACTATGTGAACTTTATAGAGAATGTAAAGAAATGTCCATCAAGTATAATAAAAAATCAGAAACTAAAAAACATCAGAAATTGAGTAGGTATATATTGAAAAGTTGAGAAATTATAAGTATATCTACCTTCTGAGGTAATCTCAATTGATTCAGGTTTCCTGTTTTTTTTGCGTTTGGATAGCTCTTATTTTCCTTAAACAATGTTGGATATTATTTCATTAAAACAAGCTGTAATACGTACTAGTTTCTTTATAATTATTTTATTACGAATTGAATTCCAGAATGATCTTCCAGACTGGAGAAGTACCTGAATACTTTTGAGTTTCATAATGTACCTATATATATGATGTGAATATTCCAGTAAATACATATTGTTGCACAACCAAAATGCTATTTCAATCTCACAACGAAGAAACAATAACTTAGTAGTGAATGATCATTGCAAAATTTTCAATTTTCGAGATTAAGAAGAAAAAGTCCACCACATTGAGACGTGCGCCATATTTAATGTGGAATAACGTATCGTTTTTGGTCAATATCAAACGCCTTTTGATCAAGTAGTTAGATATATAGATATCCCTTTTCGAATGTTCATATTTTGTGAGGTTAAGTCCATAGAAACAAACATCTGTGCTAGATATTTTTTCAGTACATATTAATGTATAAAAAGTATTGAAGAACAAAATAAACATTTTCGATTGCTCGAAAAAAAAAACAAAAACATATTCTAGTTGGTACCTACCTACCTGTTGACTAATTTTTCTTGATTCATATTTTCATAAACACTCGAGACATCAACAGTCCTTTAATTGAAAATTTCTTGTCAGTTCTAACAACCATTCGAATTTCATCATTTTGTGTCATATGATACAATTTCACCCAATCATGTCAACATTACATTGATAATTGCATTCAGTGCAATTATCAATCACTATGACAACACGATTGTCGAGTAAATTTTCTGCTGAATATCCTTCCGACATTGACAAATGCGTCATAATATTATGTCTTATGTCTCAAGCTCGTCCTGGAAAGGAGCTTCCGATTGTCATAAAATTATCTCGTCTATTATTAATGTCCTAGGGTCCTAGGGATATTACTACTGATAACTAAACTCACCTGCTTACTTAAATCACAGTAGGTAACCTCATACCATCACAATATAGATACCTGAATATTTCAAGAAAACAAATTAGCCAGAGTTGCACAGCCCCCTTGCCAAGCAGTAGTGACGCCCATGGAATAAATGAAAGGGTATATATTGTCATAGATCTAAATCATAGATCCGGTACTTATATAAAACATAGGTATTTAATTTATATACTTATGATTCGTTTTATCGTTTTATGATTCATGGTTGAAACTTCAATAGTGCATGATCCGATTATTCCGTTTTAGTCCGTAATTAGTTAGATATCTATGGTTAGATCAACGATTTATGAATTTCCATATTGAGATGTTTATAATTCCATATTACTCTGATTTAGCTAAGGTTTATGAAAAATTAGCGATCTGTTATTTTTAGACGTTCGGCTACTACCTAATAGATGGCAAATAATTCGCACAGGCAGAATGTTCGCCATATACGTTGACCATCTATTGTGTAATTAGATCTATGCTTATAATAAAGTATGACTCACCCTGTCAAACGCCTTTGAAAAATCGGTATAAATACTATCAACTTGGGTATTATTCTCAAAGGCGTTCAACAGGAAGTTCTGATATTCCATTATTGAGGATCCCTTTTCAAAAATGATTACCACTTCTCAATAACTGTATGTACTGAAATTAATGAAAATGTGACAAATCATGTCAGACACTTTGACATATTTTAGAAATTTTCACTAAATGATTCTGAATTTGGTAATAAATTATCAATAGTAATTACAAAAGTGGTGGTAATCTGTGGTAATAGTGCATGAGTGGGATTTCTCAATAGCAACTAAGATGAGTGCTTATCTAGTTGAAATTATAAAAAAAAATTACCACCAGGAATGTAATTCAGCATGATTATTTTTTTAACTATTTAGCAAAATGCCAAAAGCTTTGTAGATCATGAGAAGCTGTTTAGGTGTTGTTGTAATTTGAATTAGAAAAACGCAGTTTGACGAGGAAATAGATTTGTAATAAATTTATAATTATGATAATTACTGATTGAAATTGACAATCAACAAATTCAATTCTATTCTGAAACAAAACATAGAATATGTTCACAGGTTGAACATGTACTTATATATAAATACACATTGAAAAGACTACATTGTCAACAAGTAGATTTTCATATGGAACAAAGTTTTTGTGAATAAATATGTATTTTTTAACTATCTTAACTATCAGATTCATAATATAGTATAGATTTTTTGTTTGTTTGAAGTGTTGAAAGATATTTTTGACACATTAAATGAAGTATTCAATTGAACATATTATTCCAATTGGAAAGGGTCAGATATTTCATGCTATTTGTTGGCAGCAGTTAGTTACTGTCAAGTCTGCATTGTCTTTTGTCTAAGTTAATTATAAAAGGTTTGAAAAACCCAAGGAAGGACCCAAGAAATTGTTCTTTCCCCTAGTTTGAATAATTACAGATTTAACAGTTTTTGATCTTATAGAAATACAATAATTTCCACACTGAAACCGATTTTATACAATTTGACAACCTTGTCTTGTAGCCAACCCCACAATACAAAAGGTCTAACTCTTGAAAATCAATTGACATAGCTCTGAACTAAAATCGTCATCATTTTTAATTCAGTGCTATGAAAAAAATCAACAGTATTGGCTAGTTGATATCTATTTTCTTTTAAAAATTAGCCTTGGTGGTATTCTTGATGTTTTTTTTTCATATTCCAGATACAATAGAGAATAGTATTGACCATGCAGTTGGCAATGTGGAAGAAGGTGCTGAACAACTGGTAAAAGCATCACAATATCAAAGAAAATATAGGAAAAAACTGCTTTATTTGGCATTAATTGGATTAATTATTGCTGCTATTATCATAGGTATATTGGTATCTGAACTGAAAAAATAGATATAAGAAAAATAGTTTGTCTTTGATCATTAACAACTCCTTATATTTGTGATTATTAGTATTTATTAAGTTTGTTAAGAGGACAATTTTCAATGTTTTACCCTTTTATACTGTACCTATCTAATTCAGAATATATTATTTTACCAAAACACAATGAACAAACTTCATCTATTTATTAAATATGGAGGTAAAAATGAAACTGAAGCTGGAGAGTGGATATTTTTATGATGGCATTCTGAATTGATTCAGTTTTAATGGAAGTACCTATGCTCCTAATATTAATATATTATGTATATATGGTATTTATTGAAATAAAAAGTTGTTTTAGTATGTTGGATCAAACAAAAAATTTGTAGGTATAGATATTATCAATTAATTGTGAATGTTAAAGTAGCTTGCATGCCCAAAAAAACCAGGGGTAAATCACCTTGGAAGTCTGGTGTACACTCTGTTGGAAGTCTCTGGAATTTTTTGGATGTCTTTGGAAGTATTTCGGAGCCTTTGGATGTCTTTGGTAGTCTTTGGATGTCTCTGGAAGTCTTTGGGAGTCTTGGGATGTCTTTGGAAGTCTATGTTAATTGGAAGTCTGGTGTACACATTTTTCCTGGAGATTTACCCCTCGCAAAAACACCATCTGGGTGACTTACAAAACTTCATGTTTATTCATATGCCTGCACTTATATCAACAGCAATATCAAATATCAGGACAAATAATTATTCTATTTATACCATACACTTTATTCAAATTTCAAATTCAGAGGTAAACTTGGCCAAACCACTGGTTTTGATTGTTCTAAATGTCTTTCATAATTCAACTGAATGGCAGTTTCCATTCCCATCAATTTTTGGGCTCTTGCACCATAGATTCTTTGCATTTCTTCTAACCTATTTTTGTTTTCTGGGATAATGGGAAGAACTTCTTGTTGTTCATGATTCACATTACTACAAGTTCTGTGATTACTATTCTTTGTAGGTACACTTCCTACATCTTCCATAGTCTCTTCAGTTCCTACTGTTGTATTGATATGATTATTTGAAGATTCATCTTCTATTGTCTTGGCATATACATTTCTCAAGTGCTGCCTCAACATTTTATTTTCCAGTTCTAAGCTGATAGCCCTTGACTTCCAGTATGCAATTTGATCTTGTTTCTGCCATTCTAAAACTTCCAGTGGTAAATTTGACGGACAGTATGTAGGCGCCCAATCCATTCCAGATATATCAACCACTTCAACTGCTGAACACAACTCTTCAGCACTTCTATTGTATCTCACTTTTTTCAGACTCCTGTGGTATCGAATTTTGCTACGTTTCCTGCGTATTTGCCTTCTGGCGTTTTTGTTGGAGCGCTTGTATGTTTTGAATGAATTGTTCTTCAGAATTTGTTTAACTGAAACTGTCCCATCGCTGTTTTCATGATTTTTTGTGTTTTTGGGCATAGTAAACAAGAAACATAACCTGTTTTATTCTGACCGTTCTTTTGTCGATAAGTGTGATTGCAGAACTTTTCTGTCCTCTGTGTAATTTACACATATAAATTTACATCAGTACTAGATCATTCTTTTGACAAATGCATTTCGCACCCGTGTAGTTCATCTCCACCTGGCTTTGGGCTTCAGAATGACTCGAAATACATATGTCTGGTTATATTTGACATAGATCTTAGACAAGAGCTGAAGCCCTGAAAAACTGTACACAGTGGACAACAAATTATAAGTAAGCTGAAATAAAAAAGAAACTGAATATAGCAAAGATGTAAGGGAAAATAAATTACGGGTAATCTGAGGTCGGGAAGGGGTTTTCAAGGGTAAAAAACGGTTTATCTCGATTTCCCGCAAAACTATACAAGCCCTATGGTAAAAAGTTTAATAGCATAGATGTAGGTAATGAAAGATTCTCTCACTTTCATATACATACTTCTTTAACATGACCTCAAAATTTTTGTGAAAAATTCGAATAACCAAGTTTTTGGAATTCCATTTTCATCGTTAACGAAGAAAATTTAATTTGGTGAAAACTTACCTCTTTACGTCCCAAATGCCCTGTAATTTTTTTGATTCAAAATATTAATTTTTTCACCATATTTTGACTTGATATCGAAAAAGCACCCTAATTTGCAATCAAGAATTCTCGCGTCAAAATATGTATTTTTTTAAAAGAGCGATGGGCTTTCTGTTCGTTAATGTTCTCAGAAAATGCGGATAAACGAAAGAGCAGCAGTCACATTTTTATTAAATCCTCTTCATTATTGAGAACAACAATTTTCGCATGTTTTTGCAATCATAATAGATTTGAAATTTGTGTATTCATCGATGTAACATAGAATCCAAAGTTTCTCGAGTAATTAGTGTTGATTTGAATAAATAGCTCAAAATTATACATGATTGAAAAATGTCGGATTCGAATTTCGTTTCTCTAGTTCCTTCATTAAGCTATGTTCATGCATGTACGAATTCTGCAAAATATATGCGAATAAAATGGCAACTGCAAATATCGCAATGAAGTTGAAATATTTGAACTTTTTCTCGAATTCGGCTGGAAACATAACCACACAGTATGCATAGAATGTGTTGTTATTTCGATAACATCAAAATTGGGGTATCAGGGAGCGAACAGCAGAGGCCGCAAAAAAAAGACAAGACTAGATATACTAGACTACAGGTGTGTACAGAATTATAATAAAAAATGCATCATATGTCTTCATCTGATTAAATTTTCTTCGCAGGATGATGGATTCTCTGGACGAATTAATTTTGATATGTAATTTGTATCGTCTCTATAGAACTAATGATGTACCCAGACGCAAAAAAAGAAGCTGCAGTGTTCGAAGCATTTTTAAATACCGAAAAATGTATGGAGATTATTACAGCCTCGATCGTTTGATAAATGCGACTGTATGACCCTAACCTAATAAATATTTCAATTACTTTCGTGTAACATATGCCTTCAATTTGATGATTTTCTATCAATGGTGCGACCAGAAATAAAGAAATTATATATGACAACAGAACCCTTATCTTCTGCAAATTTTTTCGCATATTTTGCGATTCGCATAAATTTTTCGGAATTCGTGAAAGCATGAACATACCTTAACCCGTCAAACAGTCTAGATATTTAACCGTCATTGATCAGTCCAATCATGGCGCTCTCTAAGCGATTTGAGTGCGATTCGGACCGTGGTGTTTGTGAATGTTTCAATGTGAATTTATATTTGTTGTTACAAATTCACCGCTATGACGCACCCTTGCTACCAACATAATTCTGTTCTGCTCACTACCCATGATGATCTAAGGAATGTCTCGTCACTCACAGGTTAGACAACTGACATAAGTTGAACCAACTAGCAACTAAACTAAACTAACCCTACTTTCTGTTTCTCTTTTCTTTTCGAGATATATTAATTTGTATTATTTGTAATAAAAATATATTTGAAGCTGCTTTGAGGAGGAATTGCTTCCTTTTTCCACGAAGAGAATGGCTGAGGCAATGAAACAAACCGTAGCATCCATGCTCAAAGGGATTGAAAGGTATTCAATTTGTCTAGCATTTTATCATCATAGTTTTGTTGAAGAGTTTTCCTCTAATTCATATTTCTAGCTCATATTACGTATAAAATCTTATTTTTGTACAATTTCTCATCTGTATTCAATGACCAATAAGGGCCTAACATAAAGAGGCATCAGGAATACATTTTGTAAACTCATCAACTATTTTCCAGGTATAATCCTGACAACTTACCAACTCTTGAACGCTATGTAGAAATCCAGTCCCGTGAGAATGCTTATGACCTTGAAGCGAATTTGGCTGTATTAAAGCTGTACCAGTTCAATCCCCACAGTTTCAACATCAGTGTAACATGTCAAATTCTACTCAAAGCACTCACAAATCTTCCTCACACTGATTTCATACTGTGCAAATGTCTTTTATATGAGAAGCAGGTAAGGAAACATTTTTATTTAATTTCTGAAAGCCCTGTTCACTAATACTGGAGAATACTCCCCATTAATTTTAAACATGAGTTTTCTCCAATACACTTCATTCCTTTATTCCACCATACTCAGTACCTTCCTAAAATGATGGCTTCAGTATGAATTACATATTACCAATGTGCAGTATTCCTTTGTTTTCGAGTTTTATAGTGTACTGCTGAGCCATACTTTGCATCAACTTAGATGTCTAAGTTATATTGCATATTGAAGTTACAGTTTGCAACTATTTTGGGTGGGTGTTTGAGGCAAAATTATATCTCATTTGATGAATGACCATTTGGTAATCACACATGATTGATGCTACTGTGATAGAAAGATTTTATTGTAGTACATGTGCAAAATTCATATGCTTATCAAAACACACATCATTCATATGCAGAGATTGCTGATGAGTCATTGGTGGATTGAAATTGGAACATTTCCATTTTGTCCTCAAATTATATTGTTTTTGTTTGAATTCTAGTTATAAAATGTTTGATAGTTGTCTAATGTCAAGTTTTGGGTTTCTTTATTGAAAATATATTTTATTTCTGACAGTGACATTATAAGCTTATATCGTCATAGTTACGATATCTATTATGAGGGTCATAACTCCCTTGGGATGTTATAGATGCTATAATTCCCTCTAGCTAAAATTAAATAAGAAATGCATAGCAACAACCACGCAATAACGTAGCAATAAGGAATCTCCTTTTCGCGGTAGTCAAGATCATCATCTGACGTTCTGATGACATTGAAACTATACGGAAAAACATGTCTAACTTCCAATCGGGAAGGTATCTAATGAATGAAATCAGTCAGAAATAAAATTATCTATGTATCACGGGAATTATAGAGCCTCAATAACCTCTGGCAATTGCTGTCCCTCGGGCCAGAGGCCCTCGGGACGCAAACTTTGCCATTGGTAATTAAGGCCCTCATAATTCCCTTAATACATAAATAACTATTTATTACAATTTTGACATTTTACTTCCTAGAAATATTCATGTCCAAAGTCATACTGATTGAATTCTAGTGAATTTCAATTCATCATGTTCTAACCACCCAAATTCCCATTGCAGAGTCAGACTCCACAGTGACAAACAAATTTCCTATACATTGTATAAGGTGCAACTACTGGAAGGTTAAGTAGATCACCATAGATAATGAATACATCATCTTTATTCTGCTCATAACATCATTTCATATTCTGTTCCTAACTTGATGAATCATTTCTTATTTTGTTCCTCACTTAATGCATAGTTTCTTATTTTGTTCTTCAACTAATGCACTGAACTTGATAATGAAATTAATAAATATTTGATAATTCCTGAATTCTTCATTTTTGATTTATGTAAGTCATATTCAGCTAAGGAATAAAAGACAATCCTTCTTTGGAAATGTATAGTTGTGATGGTCATTTAGAAATTTTAGAATTGAACAAGCTCTGGTCACATTTTTTTTCCTGAAATTTACATTAATTTTTATAACTGCTCAATGAAGGGGGCCCTGTACTTGATATAGGTTTGGCTAGAGAAAATTGTGAATCTGTATTATATAAAAATATTGTTAAAAAACACATCACCTACTCAAAACTTGAAGAAAATAATTTACTCATACTTATTGGCTCAAAAACTGTAAGTAGTAAGTATTCATTGTATTCTATTTATATTGAGAAGTACTAATTATGCGATAACATACGAGATGTCTTGTTCAAAAAGCATTTAATCAGAGTTTGGGAGAAACTTAAGGTGTTTTTGCACTAATAGTAATTGGTAGTTAAAGAAAGACAAAAGAAAAAGATAATAATTATGGTCTGGATAAAAAACATTTTTAAATCAATACTAAATGAATATGGTGAAAATATATGGCTTTTATGCACTCAAATGCCCTGTATCACCATAATTGGTTCTACTTGGGGGTATCCAATCCTTCATATTTCTCAAAAATCTCAAAGGTCACTCTGCATATACAGGGTGAGTCATAATGTGGTCATAACTATTGGGACATAGGCTATGGGCAGATTGTTTGGACCAAAATATGGTGATAGGACCAAATATGCCTCAATGAAATATTGCTGTGGAAAAAGATACAGAGTGTAAAAGTTGAGTATTAGTGTTTGTTTTTGCTAATAATAATAATGATAATAATAATAATAATTGACTGGTCAAATGATCATGGACTGAGACTGAACCCAACAAAAAGCTGTTTCTTAATTATTGGCTCAAGTGCAATTAGGCATAAATTCTTCCAACATGACTTCACTACTTTACATATTAAAAACAATGAATGAAATGGAATCTAGGACTGATATTTGATTCCAATTTCAATTTTGAACCAGGAAATGGAATATTGTTATCAACTACTATTCAGAGAATTAAAAAAAATCATAGATGATAATAAACCAGCATATTTAGCAGATTTTTAACTCCACGTCATGAACTAAATACATAACCAGCATAACCTTAGGAATATTATAAGATACAACATCCCACAGCACAATACAACCAAATTTGAATACTGTTTTGCCTATGTATCAATAGAATTTTTGAATTCCCAGAATACTATCCTAGAATTCAGAACAGATCTGTAGCTAGCTTCAGAAGTATATGGAAAGTCTATCTTATAAGTATTCAGACATGAAATGTGATAAAAACTAAGTCAACATTATACATTTATAAATAAATTAATTCTATTTTATTTTTTTCATATTCGAGTTATTGTTGTTTTCGTTAGTATTTCATAAATGTTCACTATCTAAATTTTGTTACCTGAGCTTTTTAACCATTACACGTGGCGGTATGGAAAAACGTCTCAACGAATGCCACCTTTTGTGTAATATTTTTATGTTTTTGGATGCATGCAATAAATGTTTTTTTATTCTATTCTATTTTTGTCAACTAGGGTACTAAATTTTGTTCATAATCGGTAGCAGTAGCTCTATGTTTTATCATGACACAAAATTACGCATTTCCTAACTGGTTAAATAAATATCTATTCCCACCTCCATAAATAAATCGTTCTGAAATAGTTAGTTATTTATGTCCCAAAAATAAAAAACCTGTCTATTATAGTCGAATCTGCAGATTAATAGCCGAGGCTAGCAGGAAGGAAAGACAATAGACAGTTTTTCATCGTATTTAAAATTTTTTCGTCGACCAGGGATACTTGTATCCACACCACGGTCTTATGCAGAAGTAAAAGTCTATTGGATTTCGTGAAAAACTAATATGATAACAGGAAATGACATCAGTTATTGTAAACCTCGATCGCCCCTCTCGCACCGTGCCGTAACATAGTGACCACAGCGGACAAAAAGAGTTTGTGAACGAAAAGTTAGTGTTTGCAGACGGACAGTACTAGCCTTCAAAAATAGTCATTAGAGAGTTGAAGTGTTGTCATGCACGTTAACGTAAACGTGGAAATTGACAGCTACTCATGCGCATTTTCCAATTCTTCACGTTTGCGTTGTTAGTGGGCTTACGGGTGTACGTTATCTCACGTACCTTCACGTATACCTTAAATATCAACGTACGTTAACCAAAGTATACTCAAAATATGCCGATGAGTCAAAATTATCAAATTTGGGATCCCCAACGAGTTCTGCATCAAGGAGTCCTCTCATTTTGACAGGAATAAATGTTCGAATCTAAACACACAACCAAAATTGACCAATACAAACCGAAAACAAAATATATTATTACGTTATGATGACAGTGACGACTCCAACTCAATTTAACGACAATACGTAAACGTTATTTTTCGTACCTTAACGTCTATACGTGGAGGTCTACGTACAGTGATTACTTCAACTCTCTAATATGTTATTCGGTACCCACTAAGCAAAGCTAAAAGCTATGTTGATGCAAAGTTGAAGCAATAATAACTGAAACGGACGTTCAGCAATATTGCAAAGGTGAAGTTTGATAATATAGCGTTGTAGCAATATCACATGTTGCTGTGAGATTGCTGGACCGTTAAATTTAGAAATTAACATTTTCAATATTACTGAAAGTCCGTTTCAGTATTTGCTACAACCTTGCATCAACATAGCTTGCAAATTTGCTTAGTGGGTAATTGGTAGGTATAACATGTATTTTGTTGTGGAGGTCGAGGAAAAACTTATATTTTTCCAAAATCAAGTTGAAGAAACGAAAACAAAAACTCCCTGTATCTCCGGAACAAACAAGTTTACATATACTTTTGTGGTTCCTTGTCATATAGATGACAGTGACTCACCACTTACCACTAGTGCCGCCACGCGGGTGCATTACTTGTAATCAAAGTATTTTTTCTTATTGATCTCTTTGTCTTTCCTAGTTGGATAAATACCCATTACGAAGTGGATTTCATATATATTTTTTTCATATTCAGCTCTCAAGAACCAATCAATCAATATCTCGCTGATATTCTGGAACAATGCGACTTTTATTTCATATATATTTTTTTCATTTTCAGCTCTCTCAAGAACCAATCAACCAAATAGTTTACCTCGCTGATATTCTGGAACAATGCGACTTCCAGGTCTTCTGGACCAGAATCCATACTCTCCCTGATCTTACCCAGTCGATAACTGGTTTTGTTGACTCTATACGCAAATTTATTTGCCATGTGGTTGGTATAACATACCAAACCATCGAACACAGTCACTTGGCACAGTTGCTGGGGGATGTAGATGACAGTACGTTGAAGTTGTGGATTAAAAAGTATGGGTGGAAAGAGATGGGCAACTTGGTATTTATCTCCAATCAGGATGAAAATATAAAAACGAAGAATATCAATGAAAAGATTGATTTTGACAGTGTTGGTGCTATTATGGCTTCATGTCGCTGATTATGATAAATAAACTTATTATCCCGAAATCTATTTCTTTTAGTTCCTTATATAGTATAATCTACCTGGAAAGAACTGCTCTAGCAACTGATTTCAAGATATTTTTCTTTCAATGTATCCCAGTTCTATACAATATGAATGAACTCACATTTGAAAACAAATCCAAATGGAATAAATTCGGTAATAAATAAATGGGTGCGTTTTTGAAAAAACGATCGAACATGTCGATTGATATTTTAGAAGCGCATCCTTCCCGAAAAAAATTATATATACACACTGTATTTTATCCCATCTTCAACTGTTTCGGAAATGTCAAGTGTTTTGAGCCAAATGGAATGAATTCGGTAACGAAAAATTAACGGGGGCGTGTTCGAAAATGTATAAGTCGTTTATTTCCTTTATCCTATTAATTTACAACACAAATTTACAATCACAACGTGTATATAATGATCTGGAGCATCATATAGTGCCCCTAGATGTCCCTCCGCGTGACGCAGAGGTGGCTGGTGTTGGCCAAGGGATGTGAGAGGATTTGTGGAGTGTTCGTCGCAGCGACCGATCTCCTAGGGCTAAGCCCTTTATAAAGGTAATCTCACTGTGGGTACTCAGTGGGGCGGGGGAGTTGCTCAAACGTGATCAGTGCAGGGAGTGTTTCCGGTTTTTGGAGGAAAAATAATATGCAAAAACAAAAAAACCTCCTTCTAGTTAGGCTCGGACAGCTGGACCTCCACGTTTTCGTGTTTGTACATCTGTCCGACTTCAGTGCCGTGTTTGCTCGTGAGCAGTGGCACTATTTTATTTACTTGTTTGAGAGATAGTGTTGCCTAGTGTTCGAAAATGGGTAAGTATAGAATTTTGAATTGTATATGTAGCTATTCATATTTGTATCCAAAATTATGTAGCGAGCGTCGGTGAGATGTAAGTGCAAAGAAAATAGAATAGAAATAAACAACGATCACTTCTTATGATTTACTCAGTGAGGATCGAACAACGATGTTACATTTTCAATGGGAATTGTTGTGTGGCATATCAATTTTGATAAATAAAATATCTGATAGTTATCAGGGTATACAGGGACATGAATGAGACGGAACGTACTCTGGAAATATACTAAAGCAGGACATCCCAGGGATGTCCTAATCATATGCTTATTGTACCGACAGTACACTTTGGGACATAGGAGAGACGTACCTAGAGGATATACTTGGGTTGTATAGGGTCCTTGATAATTGTGCGGAGTTTTATTCGAAGTGGGTATCAAATCACCCTTGTCTCTGGATGTAACCATAACCATTCATACGAGCACTGTCGTGTAGAAAGTTATTCGAAGGAATTGGAACAAACATTTGAGATTTTAGTGACAAAACATCAATCTCCATTTTATTCGAGAAAAATCGCTCATCTTGAATATCCTGATGATCAGGATAATGGAACAATTGAATAAGTGTGCGAAGTTTCGATTTTAATTGACGTTTTGAAATGGGTCAAAATCGAGTTCGAAGATTCCGTTACAAACATATACCTACAAATATATTCATGCCAAAAGCTAATACAGGGTGTTTCATAATATATGCGCAGAACTTCAGGATGTGATAGCTCGTCCAAAAATTAAAAATATGAGTCTATTATCCTCTAAAATGCATTATTTTCGAAATACAGGGTGTTTGAATTAACAAAAAAACATTTTTTGCGAATGGTACCGTTTATCGCACAAAAAACAGCTTTCATAGGCATTTTTCGTATTACTCATATTGAGCTATGTTTTTTTATTTCTTGGAGCGCACGAAAGGAAATTCCTATGATGTTCGTGGAACATATCATACGTATACCTAGGAAAGATAGGGAGAGGAGGTGTAGTTGTTGGAATGTTTTTTGAACTTTTGGAAGTTGTAATAAGTTCTTGAGATTACTTCCTTTGGCAAAGAATTCCGAATCTTCGTCGTTTTATCAACGAACGAGTTTTGGTAGAGTGCTGTGCTATTTCAAAGTAACGACGAAAGGATGTGCTGACTCTGGGCCTCTCGAGTTGGTCTGACTGTGGTATTGCTAGTAATGGAATCATATAGCAGAGATTTCTGAGGAACATTTCCCGTTGAAGTATCTATAAAACATTGAAAGGTCGACGAACTTTTTACAGTTTCTAATGAGGTCAATGAACATGAGTGCGCAGCATCACCCCCAGACCCGACGAATGGCTCTTCTCAGAATGGATTCTGAGAGCATCAGCATATGTTTATGTGCTGAACCCCAGCATACATAAGAACAGTATTCTGAAACTGGCCGTATATCTGTGCTTTGTAGATCATGAAAAGCTGAGGTGTAAAGTAGATTTTTGTGAAGCAGCTTATTCTTCCATGGACCGGACATATGATTTTCCCAAGAGAGAGTATTGCTGATGGTAATAACAGAGCATATAAATATAGTGGTCTTGGTGGGTATGGTGAGTATGGTGGTACTATATCCGGCATCGCTGAGTTCCGCCTTTATAGAGAAAATACAGGCTTTAGTTTTGGTGGCGTTGAATTCAAATAGGTATTGTTGGTTCCCGAGCCAGTAATTTCCGCAAGATCTTCATTCACAGCGTTGGCCTGCCTTCGTCGTAAGTTCTCAGTTTCCTGCGAAGAAATGGGAATTCTAGAAGAGAACGCAGTATGGAGAGTACTATCGTCTGCAAAGCTGTGGATATGGCAAGTGGTTACTCCCAATAGATCGTTGATATGAAGTAGGAACAATGTTGGTGCCATTAAAATTGATACTTGTGGAACGCCGGAATCGATGGCGGTATCAGACGATACTCCATCCATCACAACATATGGAGCGATCTGCCTGGAAGAAAACCTCGATGAAAGATGGTATAGCTGAAGCGGTAATAAGCCGTATGATGGCAGTTTGTGAAGCAGTCCTTGGTGCCAAATAAAATCGAATGCCTTCGATATATCTAACGCCACAGCTAGAGGTTCCCCATGTTCTTCTAATGAAGGTTGCCATATATGGGTGACGTAGGCATCAAAATCTCCAGTTGATCTTGGGTGGCGAATGCCATATATTGTCTATCATTAATGATTCCTGAACTTTCCATGCAGATATTTGATGAGCTCAATGTTGATAGTATCACTTCGGGGATGACTGATAGCAGGGCAATTGGCATATAGTTGTTTGGCATGCCTTTGTTTCCTTTTTTGGGGATTAGTTGGACTATAGCTAGTTCCAGCAAGAGAAGAAGAGAAGAGGAAAAATATCCGACTTGTAGGAGATAGTGAACAGCTTGCAGTGAATCGATGTCAATTCTGGTGCAGACTTCTTGAGAATGATGGGTGGAACTCCATCAGGAATATTAGATTTATTTGTTTCGACATCGAGCAGAATGCGTTCTGATAGTGAGTTGATAAAGGACAATTTGGGGCACTAGGAACCCAATAAGGTGGAGTTTGCTGCGAAGGTCTCTGCCAAAATGTTCGTTTTCTCTTGTGAGATGTTTCTGCTAATGTGCCGTCGGCTTTGGAGTGTGGTGGGAATTAACTATTAGTGCAATTCCTAAATTCCGACTGCTTTAGCAAGGGACCGAAACGAACGGGAGCCATTGGGACAATCTATGATTTTCGATCTTATTTTGGTATTATACATGGTGTTAAAGAACTGTGGGATCAAACTTCTAGGGGTTATTCAGTGCAACAGTAGAAAACATTTGAGTAGTGGGTAGAGTGTTACTACGGCACAACGGCCTAAGACGCGTTAAAATTTAGAAATACGATGAATTGCCTAAATAGAATTTAATGCATTTAATTTTCGCCTTTTGTACATGATATAACCATAACAATTGTACAAAATATCTTCCTTCAACATGAATACACCGATATAAACGTCGCACATGATTTCGGCGGACTTCGTAAAACAAAGACTCAACATGTCCCCACAGGAAAAATTCTACCGGCGTTAAATCAGGTGACCTAGGAGGCCAAGAAACTGCTCTACCTCTGGCAATCCAACGATGCCCAAACCGCTGGGTTAAAGCCTCACGTACTTGTACAGCAAAGTGAAAGTGAAACCACATTTGCTGTCGAACATTTAGTGGAACATTTTCGAGAAGTTCCCTCCAAGAAACGCCGGTAAATATGTTCTGTTGGGGTAAGGGTCCTTGCGCCAGCGATGGTAGGCTGTTTGTTTCAAGGCAACAGCTTTAGAACAGTTCATGTTGAACCAGGATTTCGAAGCTGATGGTGTTTTCGAAAAATGGGAAATGCGTGATTATCTCGGATATTTCTGCGGCACACTGTGAAGGATCCTCAGAATCAAAGCATATCCTACGCTAATAAGGAAACTAGGAGAAAAACATGCGGACTCGTTCCAGTCCCAGTTATAATGCCATACAAGGCGTGGGGGTGCTGGACTAGTTGATGGAGTGAAGAATGGGCTGGTTGTGGAGATGATTGTGTGATCAGAGTTGCCAAGTACAGCACGTACATCTATGGTGTAAGGTGCTGAATTATAAGTAAGAAATAATTCGAGGGTGTTGGTTGAATGATTGTTGACATCGGGAATTCGTGTAGGTGCCTCGATAACCTTAATAAGCTTCAATAAGCCATGAGTGATGGCGAGAGCTCAGTCGCTCAGCTTCATTCGTTTTGTTGAGGTGTACGGTCCAAGCAGTGCTGTAATCACTCATGATGATGATTTCTGCTGCTGGATAGTTCTGCTGAATTAGGTCGAGCTTCAAGGAAAAGAACTCGAAGAGCTCTTCGTAGGATGTATTATTTGGTGATAAGTAGCGACATCAAAGATATTTGGTCTGTTTCTGGCTATCGAACCACCACAAAACATCGAACTTATTTGGTTCCTAAGTTAGTTCTTGGTGAAATGAGAAATTTGTCTGAGAATAGAGGCAGAGACCTCCCTTGAACCTGAAACTGTCTGGCTTATTCTCATCAATCTGGAGGTGTCGATGCACATCGTTGATGTTCATACTTAGACCATGGATGTTACATAGATAGGTATACGTAGGC